ATTTATCACCCTTCTTATTTAAGAAGTCTCGTGAACCCCCCACCCCCCCTCTGTCTTACCGGGAGCGTTTCACCATGTTTCTTCCACTTTTAGAACGTGCAACCCGGTGAGATGATCTATTCATACCTTTCCTTCTCTTTTTCGCTCTGGTTTCACATCATGATACATAAGGGGTACATCAAATTTCTCACATCATACAAAATAGGGGGGCAAGTTGCGATACAGCAATACAGTCATGCTTGGGAAGACAACAGGTCGCATGCCAAGTGGCGCAGTTTTGGGCCCTCGCCAGCACTAGGTACTCCGTCGAGAGAAGAAACAAGGTTTAGTCATCCGCTAAGAGTGATGATTACCAACACTATGAAGCCCAATTCCGCATGACTACTGCTGCCAAAGTACCAGAAGAACTCCGTCATTCCACCATGTCATGAGATGCATGTCCTTGGTATTCACCTATCACTCGGCTCTCGTCCCTGTCGTGAAGAGCAGAGAGACCGTCCTTCACCATCCTACGCCTGCCTGCTCTAGATGGCGTACTTTCGGGTCCACTCGCGCGCTGTCGACTCGTAGCGAGATCTGTCCGTCTTGTAGACATGTGCAATCTCAGGGACGAGCGGGTCGTCGGGGTTCGGGTCTGTCAGCATCGAGCAAATACTCAGCAACACTACACTTGCGTTAGTAAACCGAATCAAAGCCACGGGCATCTCTCCACCTACCCTTTGAAATGGTAAGAGCAGGGCTCCACTGGTCTCGCAGAATATCTAGGCAAATGCTGCCATTCGAGTTGATGTTGGGGTGATAGATGCGGGTGGTGAAGTTGACCTTCGGGGGCTTGAAAGGGTAGTCGGTTGGGAAGTGGATGGCTAGGAAGAATACGCCGCCCGAATATGGTGAATCGCTCTATTACAGATTGTCAGTTGTGTTGTCGACCGAGTGGGTCCATGGGAACGTGTGAAGAGTCGTGGGACGGGCGGAGGACGGGGGTGGAAAACTCAGTATATCGAGAATGTACGTACAGGACCCATGATGGTTGCTTGCCAGTGGAACTATCGCAACTGTTAGCAAACTTTGTCTGTGGCGGGTTGTTCTTGTGGTGGCCATGTCGGCGACACAGCGCAGTCGCGGATTTTGCACCACGAGTGGCGTACCAGATCATCTCCGATGGGACCAGCTGAGCAGGAGGAGGGAGGGTCGCTGTGGGTTTCATGTTAGCCAAAATGCTCCTGCCACGGCGATACTGCGACGCTGCGACGCTGCAAGCACCGTGTACCGTATACGGCGTACGGGGTCATGGTGAACGGTGGAGGGTGAAGGGTGCAGCGCCCCCGCCTTCGCTGGCCGGGGCTCGCTGTCATGCGAGCAAAGGTGCAAGCGTGGGTGGGCTGGGAAGGAGGCAACACGTACCGGCCGAGGTCAGTGAGCTCCTTGTTAATGCGCTTGAGGGCCATGGCGGCAAGTGTGTGGGGTTGTGCGTAGAAGGGTGTGTGGGTGTGGTGGTGTGGTGGTTGAGTATTGTGGCAGAGAAAGAGAGAGAGAGAGAGAGAAGAGCGTCGTGGGTTTGAAGAGTTGTAGTGGGGAGCGTCTGGTTGCAAGGCGGCGGTTAGTGTGAGTTAGACCGACTGAGCAGGTGCGGCGGCGTGTCAGCGGAAGGGCCAGCCAGCCCAACCCACGCCTAACGTACCTGTGTGACTGTCACTCTGCTCCAGCCGAGATCTCCAGCGCGGCAAAGCACTTCAAGTGAGGCGTAGCAAATGTCAGTGACAAGAAGCGAAGCTGGATTCTACCCACAACGGGCCAGGCGCTTAGTTGGAGGGACAAGCAGGTACCCAGCTATTTATCATCTCGCATCGGAAACTGCCTGCCCATACAAACCCAAGCCGAGTGCAGACCCATGCGCTTTCTGCCTGCAGCCACAACGGCGCCTCCGGTGGCAACTGTGAAGCAAGAGAGGAGAGGGTGGCAGTTCGAGGCTGCATATTCACATACCCAGACACTCTCCTGCATTGCAAAGTTCGCCACGAGACTGCTGATGAGAAGAGCGGGGCTGTACCGTACCTACTGTGTACCATCAATCCTCATTGTGGAGTCGGCTCGAGCCGCACGTTGGCGTAACCAGTTGTGCTACCTTCCTGCATGCTCACTACATACACATGGGAACTAGGCATTCACTTGCACACGGCAGAACACAAGCACCTATCATGTCCAGCGTCGTCCAACCCCCAAGGCCGTCGAACTTTGTAGTCTTCCTGCTTGTACTCTGTCGTAAGCCGTGTAGGCAGCTTCACCACCGAAAAGCAATCAGCAAAAAGCCTGGAGACCGGTAATGGCACGGCCCAGAATCAACGCTGCCATGTGTTAGTGAGAGACAGGCCAGCATCGAAACTTGGATACGTACCGTGAATGTCGCTTTGGCCCTCATACGTTTGGGTCACAAACAGATTCGCTACGTGCCTTCCAATGCCATATTCGTCAGAGACGGCATTGCCACCAAAAACCTCTTGGAGGCTATACAGTGTCAGTAGCTGCTAGACCATCTTGATACTTGCAAACCGTCACTTACGTTCGGGCATTGACCAAAGCTCGGTCGCAGTTTTGCCTTTTAATCATAGAGATCATCTCTGGCGAGGCCTTGCCTTCGTCCTTGAGACGTCCGACCTGGTGCGCGGCCAAGATACCATAAGCAGCATCGGTCGTGGCGTCTGCCAGTTTCTTCTGTACGAGCTGGTACTTTGCAATGGGATTACCCTTGAACTGTTTCCTGTCCAAAGCATACTGCCGTGTTCTTGAGATGCAGTCTTCCAGCGCACCGATGGTGCCCCACGCGATGCCATATCTCGCCGAGTTCAAACAGCTAAAGGGTCCACGTAGGCCCTCAATTTCAGGGAACATGTTTGCTTCAGAAACAGGACAGTCGTCTAGTTGGATCATGCCTGTAATCGAAGCTCGGAGCCCATTTTTGTTCTTGATCGCAGGCGTTTCTAACGTTCCTGGTGGGCATTGGTCACGCTCCACGACGAATCCACGAATCTTGCCAGTACTCTCGAGTTTTGCCCATACCAAAAGAACGTCGGCGATAGGTGAGTTTGTGATCCACGTCTTCGAGCCGGACAATGAGTAGTAGCCCTTCTTGGTGGGATGTGGTCTTGCCACTGTCTCCATGGACCCTGGATCTGAGCCGTGATTAGGCTCTGTGAGACCAAAGCAACCAAGGAGTTGTCCCTTTGCCATTTTTGGTAGTAGACGGTCCTTGAGTTCCTGAGAGCCAAATTCTTCGATGCCGCCCATGGCAAGTGAGCTTTGCACGGAATATCCAGACCGGTATCCCGAGTCTACCCGTTCGACTGCTCGAGTGATGAGACCAGCTGCTACGCTGCTGACGCCTGCACACCCGTAGCCTTGAATAGTGGCACCTAGGAGACCCAGTTCACCCATCTCTTCGAGGATCTTTCGGTCAAAATCCTCATTGCGATACGCCTCTATCCATTACGTCAGCGAGTGCATGGGCTTACGCTTTATGCTGGACAACAAACCTAGCACTCTTGGAAGCATGCGTTCCTGACAATAAGACTCTGCTGTTTCTGCAATAGCAAGCTCCTCTTCTGTGAATAGATTGGCCGCATTCAAGGGATCTTTCCAGTCAAATGCTACCGGAGTGTGCATGCAACGCTTCCCGATTGCGGCAGAACGGACGGGAGCGCTCAATTGCCTTGCGGCCTGTCTGTAGAGCGGTCGAAGCATAATGGTGCAGAGTCAGAGAAAGGGCAAGCGTATGGAGAAGTCAAGTCTGTGAAGCTGAGTTTAGTTGATGAATGTGACATTCAGAGAAGACGCATCCATTGGACCATCTTGGGCCTCGGATTCCCCACAGCACATCCATGAGCCGCGGTACGGATAAAACTCCGGAGTGGTGGCAAAGCAGTCTCAACAGCTCTCCGAGCACTCGGCAAAGGTAATTGTAGATGGCCGATGCCCGTTTCGGACTTGATACTTTTCTATGTAATCAAATCTGACATGCTGCATCCTGAAACAGCCTCAATGATCGGCTCAGGCATGTACAATTACGGTATGACTGTATGTCGTCCATGGGTTGTCGAGTGTGGGGTAGATTGCCAAGGAAGAGGGCCGTGACTTCGTGAATCCATGTTCGTGGACGCGACGCGACGACAGTGACGTTCGCAAAAGCGTCTTGCTCCACCAGCCACCAGCGTCCGCTGCCTGCGCCCGACTTTGACACGCGCACAACCGCTTCTATCTGATTTTCTTTACACGATAATACCAAAAGAAGGCGTGCGCGAACAACACAGCCAGGATGGGTATCAAACATCTGCATCAGCTCATTCAAGAGCACGCACCGGATGCCATCAAGGCGGGCGAGATCAAGAACCAGTTCGGTCGCAAGGTCGCCATTGTGAGTTTTCAAGGATTACACGGGTCATCGGGTATACTGATTGACTACAGGATGCGTATGTCGGTCTGGTTCCGCACTATAATACAGACATCTAACCTGCCTAGATCCATGAGCATTTACAGCTTCCTCATCGCAGTGCGCTCTGGGGGCGAGCAGCTCATGAACGAGTCAGGCGAAACTACGTCCCATCTTATGGGTCTCTTCTATCGAACCCTCCGCATGGTTGACAACGGAATCAAGCCCCTTTACGTCTTTGATGGCGCACCACCAAAGCTCAAGTCGGGTGAGCTCGCCAAGCGTTTCCAGCGCAAGACCGAAGCGCAAGCGGCGGCCGAAGAAGCCAAAGAGACAGGTACAGCAGAAGACGTGGAGAAGTTTTCACGGCGAACAGTAAGGGTGACGAGAGAACACAACGAGGAGTGCCGCCGACTGCTCAAACTCATGGGCATCCCGTTCATTGTCGCCCCCACCGAGGCCGAGGCCCAGTGTGCTGTGCTGGCTCGAGGTGGCAAGGTCTATGCTGCAGCCTCGGAGGATATGGACACCCTGACGTTCAACTCGCCAATCCTGCTGCGACATCTCACCTTTAGCGAACAGCGCAAGGAACCCATCCTGGAAATTCACTTGGACAAGGTGCTAGAAGGCTTGGCCATGGATCGCACTCAGGTAAGGATGCGCACTGATTGAGCATCGAGTACATACTAACGCGAGACAAACAGTTTATCGACCTTTGCATTCTTCTAGGCTGTGATTACCTTGACCCCATCAAGGGTATCGGCCCCAGTACTGCCCTGAAGCTCATCCGCGAACACAAGGATCTCGAAGGCGTGGTCAAGCATATTCAGTCACAACCCAAGGGCAAACTCACCATCCCGGAAGACTGGCCGTTTGCCGATGCGCGCCTTCTCTTCCTCGAGCCCGACGTGCGACCGGCCGACGACCCAGAATGCGACTTCAAGTGGGAGGCACCGGATGTAGAGGGACTTGTCAAGTTCCTCGTCGAGGAAAAACATTTCAGCGAAGACAGAGTGCGCAACGGAGCGGCCAAGCTGAATAAGAATATGAAGACAGCACAGCAGAGCAGGCTGGAGGGCTTCTTTAAGCCGATCCAGAAGACTGAGGAGGAGAAGGCAAGCCTGAAGCGCAAGGCGGCAGAGAAGCTCGAGGAGAAGAAGAAGAAGCAGAAGCAAGAGGCAAAGGCGAAGAAGGACGCCAAGGCCAAACCTAGGACTGCTGCTTGACAGGGCAGGGCCTCTTGTGGAAGAGGGTCAGATGACTCGTTTTGTTGGGGACAGCGACAAACAGGATCCGGCGTTGTGTATGGTCTTTGGAGGGATAAGGCGTCCAGGGATATTCCCCGTGGTTGTGAATGACTTTTCAATGCGAAGCATGGGGGGTATATGTATTTCTTTTTGCAAGGAGCGTACTATGCGAAGCGCAAGTGACAGTAAGATGGCGGCAATCATTCGCACACATCGATCGAAGTAGATGGATTAGTCAGGTAGGCCGTGAAATAAGGAGTAGGAGTAGAGCCTGTGTTGCAATATGAACCTACATGGCCGCTCGTCACCTTGAAGATGGTATCTACTATCTATCTATGCCTCCCAACGCCCACGCACAATTCTGATCTCATGATCAGCCAGCAAGCCGACATTTATGCGTAAGCAAGTGTGCAGCGATCGCCACGGACGTCGAGTTTCCCTATCGCAGCCACCGCGACACATCATCACACACATGGATCATTCTTCACAGTACCAACTCCTACCCCCCCCCCCCCCTCTTGGCAATCCAGTCGCACAAACCTCGCAACCTCGCAGCCCAATCTTATCCGGCGCTAGTCCACCCACGCCCATGCCCTCGACGTCTCCACTTGCGTCCGCACAAGTCGCGCACGCCAATCAGGGCCTCGGATTTGCAACCGGCGAAAACTTCTGCCACCGGAAGGACTTGTGGAGGATAGGGATGGTGCTGGAACAAGGCTTGCGGTGTGATTGAAAGAAGAAGTGAGAGACTTGTGCGATTCCGCCGTTGCCGCGCACGCTGACGGGAAGAGGGGAGAGAGGACGGCCGCACAAAGAGGGCAGCGGGTATAGGTGTGTGGCTACAGTGTAGGTATATAAGAAGGCGCGATGCCCTCATCTAGAGGATTATCATCATCACCAGCAAACACATTCTCATACAAGCTACTTGACCATCTTGACTCCAGTCTCCCACTACTGTACCGGTACTACTTGCGCACTTTCAAACAACCAACCCAACCCAACCAACCGTCACCATGAACCCCAACTGCAACTGCGCCACCGCCTGCCAGTGCACCACCTGCACCTGCAACAACCTCGTCAACCAAGCCAAGGGCGAATGCAGCTGCAACGACGGAAAATGCGCGTGCACTAACTGCACCTGCTCCAGCTGCACTTGCTCCAGCTGCCCCGTAAGTCATCTCCCACTCTTGTATGCATGCATATGGTTGGAGACACGTGTTAATAGGGAGATGTATAGGGCAAATAATTTTTTCAACCAACGGGCCGACCGACCAACCAAAACCCTTTTTGATGGGTGCGGTAGCTGGGCTGGAAAGGGATATGGGATCTTCCGGTTTGGGAGGTGAGGAGGGGGGGGGGGGAGAGAGAGGAGAGGAGAGGAGATACCCATGATGACTGAACGAACACAATCTTTGTTTTGAATACAATCGTCATCTACTACTTGTGTAGAATGCTCATCATATGTGCTCCCCATGGCACTATGCTGTGACATGGTTTCCCTTGGACGATGACGTTTTTGTAAATCGATGTTTGATGGCAGTGTCTAGGTAGTCCCATCTTCGAGACTTGATCTCATTTCCCCATTACCATTAACATGCACTCTTTATAATCTGACAACTCATTTCTGCCATGCCATGCCATGCCATGCCATACCATACGAGATACCACACCCTCGGCCAAAGTCTCAACAACAACAATCTTCATCCGCAACAAACAGTCGCGTCCTCCTCCATGCGGCCATTCCCACCCCTACCGACCGTCAAACTCTGCCAGCCAAAGATGAAGTAGCCAAGAAAGGCGCCAATGAAGATACAGATGATGAAGTAGCCATTATAATACATGGCCAGCAACATGACAAAGTAGGCCACGGCAAACTGCAACATGTGCAGCAGCGCACGCACCGCCTGCTGCAGCACACTGGGACGAAACGTCTGCGCAACCGCCGGCGCACAGGCAGCGGCGGGCACAGTCGGAGATCCAGGTGTCTTGTCCGCGCCGTGGTCAGAGGAAGCAGAGGATTTCGATGCACCAGCAGCAGCAGCAGCAGCAGCAGTGGGTGTTGTGTCAAGCGATTTGCGGTACTGCGCGACGAGGTAGCGATCATACTCCTTGCCAGCACGGCGCAAAAACTCGAGGCTGAACACGAGCAGGATGACGCCGATGCAGCAGCCCGCAAACATGCCGTTGGAACGAATGTGCCAGGATTCGGCGATGAAGCAGGCATCGACCGTATACCAGTTCCACAGCATCTGCCCCCCTTGGACGTTAGCCCATGACTCGTGCTTTTTGTGCCTCTACAGGTGCATGTGCAGAAGGGGGCGAGGCTGGGGTTACGCACGTTGATCTTACAGCCACCCATCAGGTCCTCCATCGCGTCCATGCCATTGCTGGGCAAGCCGGTGGGCATGGGAGGCATGTTCGTATTCGCAGAACCCATATCCATATCCATATCTGCGCGTGTGCAACGTGTCGAGCGATTGGGGGTTTCGCGGAAATACCGTAGCTCTCTACTCGAGTCAAGAGAGTGATGGTGTAGATGCCGGGTGTGTGTGTCACAGAGAGAGAGAGAGAATGTAGCCAAAAAAAAAAAAAACAAAGTGCCACAACACGACAGATAGCTATGGCACGAGGCCCTTCAAATACCGGCCAGTGGTGTGCAAATGGCCAGACGAGCAAGTTATGAGCAAGTTCAAACGCGATCAAAGGGGAACAAGCGGGGATGTACCGTAACCTGTAGCAATCACGATACCGGCACAGTACCTACCCACCCGTCCCTATCGATGAAAACGGCAACCGCTGTCCAATACAGTGGCTACGAGGCTACACAAGCCCTTCCGGTACTGGTCTGGGAATGCGTGGAGCGCAACAAGAAAGAGAAACAAAAGGGCCTATACCGGCATGAGATTGTAGGTATAGCACCGCGTTTTAACCCTTCCCATTCCACGGGTACGGTACCGTAGCCAGAGTACCTCTCGAGCTCCTCCCACAACTACCTTTCTACAATCTCAATGTATCCCCATACTCCCCTTGGCAACTTTTCTTCTTCTTCTTCTTCTTTTTCGGCGGCCTTTGCACAAGCATTTGCACAATGCTGGATGCCGTGTCTTGCACCGCACAAGCATGCGAATACGAGCCAGGGCGTTGGCCTTGTTTTTGTGCCCGCAAGCCCCGAGGATCAATGAGCAGGACAGATCTTGGCTAAAGTGGGATAGCGGGCCAGCCAACAAGGTACTCATGCGCTCGGGTAGTTTGAGTATCATGTGATTTGCCACTGCTACATCCTGGCTATTTTCCTCGCACAAGACAAGTAACGTGATCCTCACACTAGCCGAGATAACTAGTACTCTCCGTACAGTTACATCCAACATGCTGCACGTGCTGGTCGGCTAACACGCTGCTTGTACCTGACTGGGCCGACGTCGCAACATCTTGTGCATCGAGTCGTCTTTTGCATGGACAAGTTGGCGGAAGATTCGAGCAAGCAAGAGAGGAAACTTTTCATGTAATGAATCCAAATCTTCTACAAAACCCAGGCATCGTCAACTTGATTCGTCAGTCGCCCCACTTGGCCTCTTCATACCCACTTCGAAGTCGTGCATGTCGAGTTCGATCCATGGTGCTCGATCCACTTGGCTATGGTCTTCTGCTGCCTGCCTATGATCTTCATGGCCTTGTCCGTGTCGTACAGACCATACCAGCCTGGCGCTTCATGAGGTGGATCACCCGCCCAGACCATACCAAATTCATTTGCGCGCTGGCTTTCAGGCCGATAGATTCCACTGTAGGCCCATGGTGAGGTGCCGATATACGCGCCTCCAGATTTGAACTCCTCCATAACGGTACCAATGATAGTCTGGCATGGGATTAGTCATGTCCGAGGCAAGAAGAGGGAGCATCGTCACAAACCGTAAAGTACGCATCCTTGTGCGAGCTCGAAGCGCTGCTGAGATAGGCATACTCCTTGTCCTTGTTCTCCCAGTTGTCCCGGGCCATTCCAAACTCTTCGAGGAACACGGGTTTGCCGATTTCAGCTGCCCATCGGCTCGAATTACGCACAAAGTCCACGGCGAAATCCTGTGCCTTCTTCAGATTGGCCTCGCTAGAGTTGTCCATGTCGTAAACGCCCCAGTTCTGGACCCAGCAGTGCGTCGTGGCATAGTCCACCGTCGAGAAGTCGTGCGCTTTCTTGAAGTAGTACTCGCCCTGCTTGCCCTCCAGACCCACGCTGATGAGCTGTTTTGGCGCCATGGAGCGGATGTAGGCGGACATACGCTCTACCCAAGGGAAGAGTAGATCATCGGGATTGGGCGTAATGGCAATATTGTACGCGCCAGTGTAGTTGAGCGCATCTGACGCTTGGGGCTCATTGGCCAGTTGCCAGGTCATAATGGTCGGATCCTCCGTATACAGACGGTTGTTCACTGTATTCCTCCGGTCCATTACCGTTTTGATGTGGTTCTTGAACCATGTCTCCGCCTGGGTATTGTTGTAGATCAGATTGGCAAACGCCGTGAATTGGCTGTACGGTGCCGCATCGATGCCTTGCACGGTGTAGTTGCCCCATCCAGTACCGGGTGTTTCCCGCTGCGGCGGTGCTGTCAAGTTCCATGAGGCTGGATAGGGAATCGCCGAGTTGTGAGTTGCCCAAGAAACATACTGCGCAAACCCGCCGCTCCACTGCCATTCGTTTGCAAGAGTCATGGTGGCGCGCATGCCTCGCTTTGACATTTCGTCCAAGCAGACATCTAGGCCTTTGAAAATATCTTCGTTGTATTTGCCTGGCTCTTCCAGTAGAGCCGGGCTCATGCGAAAGGGTTGTGGCGTAGGGGCACCCTCTGAACCCGCCATGATGCGGAGATGATTGATTCCTTTGGCAGCCATCTGGTCGAGCTCGGTTACCAGGCGGGAATAGTTGCCTCCAGCGGACGGCGCTGCAGCTAGGTTCATGCATGCCCAGTAGTTGATGCCTGTGTGCATCAGCATTCGTGTAGCACTTGGAGGCAGCGAGTATATAGGTACCAGTGATGTAGTGCAGACCCTTGGAATCATACAGTCTCAGTCCATCGACGTGCACAAAGTCACCTTCAGCGATGGCATGGCCGTGCTTGCCTCGATTGGGCAGAGCAGAGACGGCCACCAGCGAGGTCGAAAGCAGCTGCAGTATGGCTTTCATTTCGACCGACGACTGCAGAAGGGATTACACCGGTATGGCCCTGTTCGGTCCATGGAAGAAGCGTGGCACCGCCGAGCCTTATATACTGAGTGCCAATGGACTCGACCGGCTCCATCGGGCAACCCAAGGAAGATCGTTGTGGGGTTACCATGAAGCTTGCAAAGACGCCTGTGCAGATATCCAGAGACCTTGCATTGTACCCAGTCTGCAGTCGTTGGAATTCGGGTTTGGGAACGGAGACGCTGCTCCGCCGTAGGATCCCGTTCTAGATGCAGTTTAGGTTCGACCGAAGATGGCATGACTCGGCGCCTTGTTCTACCGTGGTCCGCATCTTCAGTTGTGACATGATTGAAGCCAACCTAGTTAGTCACCTACTTTCAAACACGCCCTTTTCATCCAGTGCAATGATCGCGACGTTTTGAGATCTTCGCCACAAGTTCTACACGCCACACTACCATCATCTATCATGAGCTACGCGCGGTGATAACATGGACAGGTGCACCTTTGGCCCTGGTACCGGTACGGTAAACATGGTCATACAATGTCTTGTACCCATCTCCAGCGCGTGCAAGCATTTTGCCCAAGGAGCATCCACTTCCCTTCGACCGCAACCTAGAGACTGCCCTCCTGCTGCTTGATACGCTCGAAGAGCTGTGCAAAAGTATCCGAATCCTGAGCTCCGCCAACCTGGAATTTGCCATTGATGGTATAGTTGGGCACACCAGAAACACCTTGTCGCTGTGCTCGCTGCACTTGCTGGTCCACCTCAGGACCACCCTTCCCGCTTTCCAACCAGTCCTTGATCTCTTCGTCTGTCAGTCCAGCCCTGACACCGGCCTCAGTCAGTACTTCACGACTCGTAATGTCCTTTTCATTCTCAAAGTAGGCAGCGAAGAGCTCTCCAATGACACGCGTCTGTACCTGGGGGCTTTTGGTCTTTCCAAGCTGAATCAGCCGGTGCGAGTCTCGCGTGTTGCCAGTGTTACCACCGAACTTGAAGTGGATGCCCTCTTCTTTGCCGATTTCGGATAGCCGTTGTTGCATCACGGCTGTACGCTCCTTGCCGAATTTTGACTCGTACATTGCTTGTTTGTTGACGCTGTTGCCTGCATCCGGCTGCAGGTAGTACGGGAACCAATTGGTCGAAAATGTGTCATTTGAATCGGGATGTTTGGCCTTGTAGGCTGCGATGCCCTTTTCTAGTCGCTTTTTTCCAACATAGCACCAAGCTTGTAAAAAGTCAGTCAATGCAAGTTGTCCGTGGTGGGATATATTATATTAAATCGACTTACGGCACACAGTGTCACTGACGATGTCAATGTTGAAATTCGTCATTCTTCGTAGACTTGCTCTGAACGCCACGATGAAGATGATTTTTTTTTATTAATTTGCGGTTATAAAGATGTATCGCTGATGTCACCAAAAAGGTACCGCGGTTTTTCTTTATACACAGAAGAAGCGCTGACAAATTCAGACACAGAAGACGGACTGGAGTCGGGGTGCTTTCCGCTTCCGATGCCGAATGCAAACCACACTGAAGTATCTCGCAATCTCTGACGTATTCGTCACTATCCTCCTTTACAACACCAGACTGGGGAGTTCAATCTTTGTTCCTTGGCTTACAAAATGCTGGAGTTTACATCATCAGTGCTCAATGTCTGTTTCTCCCCTCAGCGTCTGGACGGATTCGCCTTGCAGGACTTGATCTTTTCGTCTTAACAGACTCGATTCTTGATCCGCAATTCTGTAATCGTTCGTTCGATGACACCCAGGAACGACACGATTTAGCTGAAAGGTACGGTTACACCGGTGGGTGAATCGGGCCGATAAGAGTACAGATTCAATGAATCAACCGTGCAAAGAAGTTTCCATGCAACCACGCCCACTCAGATTGATATTTTGTTTTCTGTACACTGCATTTAGGTCAGGATGAGGTAGGAACCATGTGGAAAAATAAGACTTCCAAGAAGCTTTGTCAAAGATTTCGCTAACAACCTACTCCAAACTCCAATTCCCAAGCCCACAGCCACTATACTGCGCCTCTTGCCCGAGCTCAACACAGCCCAGACAAACTTCCAACTACCCACGTTTCTCCTACTGCTATGGCCCATATGCTTCAATTGGAATCAATCACAGAAGAAAGTACAATGGAGATGGTTCTTTATCTACATACCACATCCCCAGTCCACTGTCCATCCCTCCATACCAGCTCTGTGGAATTGCCCCACGCACCAATTCACCCGGCTCCTCGCTACCAAATACCCCATCCAACCCAGCTCAGCCGCCAGCCCAGCCCATCCTCCTCAGCCTCACAAAAAGCTGCAGAGAAAAGTGCACCGCCCAGCACCACCTACAAGCCATGCCCATGCCAACCCCCTCAGGCAACCCTTTTGCTGTTCCTAGCCCGCACACCCGGCGCTTCCATGTATGATAGGTCGATTTACACTAGCAATCTCTACAGTTGATATGGACCGTGTTGCCTATACTGCCCAGTGGGACATGGGAACTACAGTATGTAGAAGTACGTACATACCTATATACAATCCTCCCCCGGACCCTCCTCGGCAGCCACACAACCGCACCCGTTTCAACAGACGAAATAAGCCTCCACCATCCCATCTGCCGCTGCATCAACTAGACTAACGCGTCTAACGATCCTTTTGCGTGACCGTGACCGTAACCGCCCGCTGCATGTACAGAGCGACTGCGCTGTGCACGCGCGAAGGCGCATACCGGGGGCCAGAAACAGCTTGGCTGGGTGCCTGATTGTGGCTGTTTTCGACCGTGATCGGCCGTTGGTGATGGGAGAGGAGGCGCTAGAATGGTTTTTGTGGGTTAGAATGGGAGGTGGTAAGGGTTGCGATTGGGACTATTCTTTCATGTGTAGGGTAGGTGGTGGTGTATATAGTTTTCTATGCCTTTTTTTCTTATGAATCTCGGGTCGCTCTTAATTTCTTTCGTCTCTCCCTCTTTCTTCTTGTCTATTGGCCTTGCTGGGCCTATTCAAGTTAGGGAACTGAGAAGGGATTTCGTCGCGAGGTTCCAGTGGTCGGCATCTTCACAGCACTGAGTTACAATGCGATACTCTAATCCCCTCTTCAGCCTCGTCGCTGCACTACCCGCCATCCACGGTCTCCGATTCGAAGGTCCAGCGCCAACAGGAATCAGTCCCGAGCGCGCCTTGGATATCAACATCCCAGTGCCTACTCAAGGACCACTCCTCAATGAATTGAAGAAACGTCAAACGAACCTCTTTCCAGCGACTTGCGGCTGGATCGATGGTGACTGGTGTACGTATCATATTTCTCATTGTCTACCTTTCAAAACACCGTACACAAAGTATGCTGACAAATTTTGCAGCATCAGGAGTAACTTGCCAGCCCGGCCGAACATGCATGCTCTACACGTCTGCCTCCGTGGGCATGGCGGGCTGCTGTTCCGGCTCCGACACCGAAGCCTGCGGCTGGTCAAACCGCTGCGTCGACTACCGCGCCTTCGCCGCCGGGGCCTGCGGTGCAGGCTGTCAGGCGAATGATTTTGTGCGAAAGTGTACAGATGTCAGCCAACCGTACTGTGTTACTTGGACGTATCCGGGAGATAGGGTGGCAGATTATGGATGCGCAGCCACGTCGACAAATACGATTTGGACCGTGTTGCAACGGGCGACGGATGGGACAGGGGGGAGTACGACGATGAGTTTGCCGACGCTCAGTGGAAATGCTGTGACGGGGTTGGATGGCCGTAGCAGTGCGACCGCAGGAGAGACGTTTGGAAGCGGCACGAGTGGCGGCAGGACGCGTACCGTGAGGACGATTGCGGTCGGTACGATCATTGGGATTGTGGTGGCTGCGCTGGCTGTCATCTTCTTCATCGTCATTGGAATCTGCATCTGCGTAAGGAAGAAGAAGAAGCAACGTCAGCTTGCGGCAGATGCTCAGACGATTGCAGCGATGCAAGCAAGCCGTCCTCAGTCCATGTTTCCGGCTCCTCCTCCTCCTCCTCCTCCGCAACAGCAGCAGATGCAGCAACAAGGAGGCTACATGGCCCCACCCCTGCTTCAGAGTCCTCAGCCAACACTCCATGGCTACTTTGCCCCAACATCACCTGTTGGACCAGGCGAAGAAAAGTACAATGGCCACACGTCACTGCACGAGTACGCGGCAATACCCATGTCAAACCCATCATCACCAGGGCCCTATCAAGGTACAGGTATGGAGGCAGGAGCAGGGGCACAGGAAGTGGATGCGGTTAGTAGACCACAGGTTCCTGCGAACGGAAGGCCCGTGTATGAGCTGGGTGATGGGCGGTGAGGGGAGGGACAGGACGTATGATACCGTCGTTCAGATAGCGAATTATCCGGTGCTTTGAACCCAGATGAAGCGTAGAGAAGCATTAAAGCACAAGTCCATGCAAAGGCAGAAAGAAAAGCAGGGGCGGGAGGTGTCATTTGTCAAATGGTGTGCGCTTTTCCGCGGGTTGTTTGGTATCTGGTATTTCTTGTCCCCTATCCCACGTCCCTGGCTACAATCTACAAGAATCTCGACGGGTGGCTCTTCTTTATGACCAAGGGGTGTCGATGTACACTGGGCATCAGACCCAGGCCAATTGCTCTCCGTATCGCCTTGGCAATCTTCCTCTGGTTCTTGGGGCGTAGACCGGTGTCCTTGGAGTGCTTGATGCGTCCCGTCTCGGTCATGTACTCTGACATGATTGTGAAGTTCTACAGACAGTCAGTCGGACGCTGCCTTGCCTTGCTAGCTAGGAGAAAGGTAGAAGCCATCATAGCGTGCCAATCCGTGTCTCTCACCTTGTACTCGAGAATGGGGTTGATGCCCAAGACATCGAAGGCATCCTCGGTCGGCCTCTTGCGCCCGTACTTCCATTTCTTCTGCTCTGCGCCTGACAGATCGTGCGGCGCATAGACATCGCCAGGCTGCCATTTGCGGTATATTTGGCGCTGAAACTGGCTTCGCCTCTCCGACTCTATCATCTCACGTGTCTGTGTGGGACGGTCGAGGCCTGCTTCTCTGGCTAGGCGCGTGGCCACAGACGAGCCATGCTGCTGGCTGGAGGAGGTGTTGCGGGCAGTACTTTCACCGAGAATGGAGAGCAGGCCGCTATCTGTGAAGGAGTCGTCAATGTCTTTCTCAATGGGGCCTGAGGGTGACGACGGGGAGCTTATAACACACCCTGTTTCTTGGGGGCTGTGGAGAAGGCCCGCAGACATGTCTGGCTTGCCGCTGCTGCTGCTGCTGCTGCTGCTACTGCCGGCGCTCTCAGACAAGGGAATCGGGATGGCGACATGGCGGACGGCGGGGCAGAGGAAGCGGAGCAACGGGTTGTGGTGTGTCTATACTGTTATGTGGACATGTAGAAGAGCCTCACCCGCTTTTCGAGCCCTTGTTGCCGACGCGGAGGTCCGACTTTCTTTCCATGATCATGGCCCGTGCAGCCGATGGATGATTTCACACTTTCACTCACGCATATCCAACTGCTTGTAACTTGTCCCGACCCGTCTACTCTGGTCTGCTGCAGCGTTTTCGCCTTGTCTCTTCATTTACCTGCTTGCCTTTAGCTTGCCTTTAGCTTGCGACATTGCGATATATTCAATTTCCCCCCTCCCAAAAAAAAAAAACTCCACTCCATGGATTCTATGTCCCAATAACGCCAACCATCTCCCCCCACCCGCCTTCCAACCTTTCCCCCCTTCCATTGTGCCATCAATTGCACTCCCAACTCCCTCGCTCCCTCTACCTCGTCCATCCCTCGTCCATCCCTCGTCCATCCGCCATCCGCCATGCCCTCCTCCCACTTGACCCGCCTCGTCTTCCGTAGCATCACCGCCAACGAGCCCCTCCTCTACCGTGGATGCTGCCATGTCGCCACCACCCGCCCGCCCACCTGGTCCCATCATGGCGCTTTCTCACTGCCACGCGCACTCGGCTCCCAAACCCATCGGCGCAGCTTTCTCAATATCTTCAAGCCGAGCCGGAAGCTCAAACCCGCGCGTATACCCGAGGGCCTGAATAAGATGGCAGAGGTCACGCTAGCCATGGAGACTGCCGTACGCCCACCGCCACAAGCCGAAGTAGCAGCAGCAGTCAGGGCCTTCTTTGCACGCCAATCAAATCAATATGAGAACTTCCAAATCGCCCACGCACACAATGCCCTGAAGTACTTGCTGCAGAATCCAAAAGACGACGGTAGCCCCTGGCTCAGCCGAAAAGAACTGGATGACGGTATACTCGAGAGCATGATGCGCCGGGATCCTCGCAAAGTAACTGCGGGCCCAGCTCACCTGCAGTTTGGTCACATCCTTCTTGCCGAATTGGAACGCATGCTCGACGTAGAGGCACAACAAGCCAGGGAAGAATCGCAGCCAGGCAAAAAAGTCTTGGACCACACCTACGTGCAAAGGAAAAGGATACGCTTTCTGTCAGTATACGGAGCAGCCACCGAAGCACGGGCTATCGCAGCCGCTGAATTTCTTTATCATGCAGACGCTTCTGAGCTGCAACGACAAAATGTCCTGGCTGTGTGGCTGGACGTCATTCGCGGCTTTGCTTTGGAACACAACGTCGAGGAGCTGGCGCGGACGGCAGAAATGCTGCAGACGTTGTCTATCCCCATAACCCCGCCCATGCGCCATAGACTTGTCAAAGTCTTCATCGCGAACAAGGACCTGGAGCGCGCAAAGTTTTGGTATTCGCATCCAGTGTGTGATCTTCAAGGTCAGCCCATCACCGAGCGAATTCATGGTACCCTCAGTGCCGCTCTCTTGACAGCGTGTGCTCACAGCGGCGATCGGATATACGGTCAAAAACTAGTGGCCTCGATCCTGGAGACGAGTCTCGGAGACAAGGAATCCTGGGATGCCATTTTCCTTTGGTCTGCCGCCATTGGCAAGGGTCCAGATGAGATCGATCGGATGATGAACGTCATGGTTCGTCGTCATGAGGAGGCGCGGCAGAAAAACCCTTCCCTCAAAGTCGTACGCCCAGATGTAGAAACTATGAATGCCTTGGTCGAATTTTGCATCGCCAAGAATGACCCATATGCTGCCGAACGATACATATCCATGGGAGAGAAGCGTGCCATCTCACCCAACGAAAAGACTTTTGCCATGCAGATGCAGTATCGCATCTCCATCGGAGACTTGGATGGGGCTAGAGCTGCCTATTTCAATCTCCAGGGAGACTTTTCCGGAGCTGAACACAGTGTGGCCGCCGTCAACAAATTGATTCGAGCTCTGTGTGCCTCTGATCTGTATCACTATGATGACTTGATGGCCATGGTAGACGACCTGCATGAGCGCAAGGCAAACTTCGATCCAGAAACTGTTGCTGCGCTGACTCTGCTTCATTTGAGAAGAGGTGAAATCCCAGACGCCCAGGACTTGCTTCAATTACACGCGTTCCAGTACTCACCCAAACAGCGTCGCATCATCCAGAAAGCTCTCTCCCTCTTCATTCTCGACAGCGAAACCAGTATTCCGGATGCATGGGATGGCTACCAGATTTTACGCAATGTTTTCGCAGAGACTGCAAAGCCCGAACGAATAGCAATCATGCAAGGCTTCTTCTCGCGCAAGCGATCCGACATGGCTTGTCATGTCTTCTTCCATATGCGCAACCATGAGTCTGAATCTCTCCGCGCTGATCGAGATGTCTACATTGCTGCTTTCACTGGTTACGCCCGGTGCGCAGACGCCGAGTCACTCGAGTTGACCCACAATCAGCTCAGGCTGGATCTGTCGATTGACGTAGATACCAAACTTCGCAATGCTCTGATGCTGGCTTATGCTTGTACAGAGCAGAACACCAAGGCTCTACAGATCTGGAGAGAGATTTGCGAGTCAAAGGAAGGCCCCACATACAACAGCATCATCATCGCCTTTAGGTCTTGCGAAGGCATGAACTGGGGCGGAGAGCATGCCAAGGCGATATGGAAACGGCTCAAGGAACAAGATGTCGAGATTGACAAGGCTCTTTGGACGGCTTACCTGTGTGCCATTGCACGCAACCACGACCATGCCGAGGCACTAGCACTTGTAGAGTCAGTCGAGCACGAGTATGGCTTCACTCCTGACCTTGCTATGTAAGTCCAACAACTGCTAATGCCAATTGTGAAGCATACATTGACATGGTTGTTATAGTCTCGGCAACTGGTACAACATGACTCCCAGTAATGAAAAGCAAGCTCACGTCGAGGCCTGGATCAAGAAGCGCTTCCCCGAGGTATGGCAGGAAATGGAGGCACTAGGCCACTGGATCACCTTCGATGGCTTTGGCTATCGGCAATACAACATCAAGCGTGACCTTGAGCCATAAATAATGTGTTGATGGGACGGCAGATAGGTACGAATTAAAGAAAGGGACAACAAGTCCGGGTATCAGCCATCAACCAACACTCGTTAGACTTGGCCGAGGCGGCTCCAAACGCTTGACCTAATTTAGGATCGGTTTGCATTTTCCCATTTCAAGTAATGGCATTTTGTCTCAATCGCTGGGTCGGGGGCGTTTGGTTTGGCCGAGCAAACGGTGCTAGTGCGGCGTTGCTGTTGCCTCACCCACTCACCTTGATATATAGTCTCACTTGCCCTATGGGAACCAGTATCTATTGCTCCTTACTCCCTCTCTCCCTCTCTCCCCGGTACCTACGCCCGTCCCCCTTTCTTTCCTTTCGGCTCATTGCTCATCTGGATAAATTGTCCGGGCGCGCATGTAAGCACCGAGGCCATTGTAGAGCCACCGAGATTACCACAAAGACATCGAAGGTTCGCCGTACGTATGCACCACACGATCCCTACGCTCCATCTTCACTACCAAAATGCCTGCTAATTCTCACAGTCCACGCCCACGATGCGCATCATCATCATTGGCCTAGTCGGCCTAGTCGGGCTGGTCTCCTCCACTCCCTCACTCTACACACCGGGTCCCGTTGCCTCCAACGCCTACCTAGGTTCTGCTCTGGCTACCGCCGGTGACATTGTTGTCTGCCAGGATACCCTCGATGCTCGTGCTTGCAACACTATCCACGCTCAAGGCACCTGCGCCACGCTCCCTACTAGCGTCTCCCACAAGGTCCGCAACATCTACCAAGCAAAGGGTAGCGTGTGCAAGTACTTTGACAAGGACTGCTCTGCGCATGAGCCCGTGGTCAGCATCAATAGCAATGACCGAAGCCTATGGCTGAATCTCGCACCAGGGATTGGCGATAGGATTGGGCTTGTACTTTGTCGCAATGACTGGCCCAAGGCTGACTCTCCCGGGGGAAATAGAGGGTATCCTTTCTGTTATTGGGAGGGAACGAAGAACAAGTATATTTGTAAAGAATATCCTGGTTGCCATCTTAATCACGATAAAAGCGAGTACATCTGTCCCGGTATTACTAGTCCCGATCCTCAAGCCAGCAACGACACTATCGTGGCACAAAATCCTGGCTGCCACTTCAATGTAAAGAACGAGTATGTCTGCGCCAAAGAGACCTCAGCCAATGACAGCGATGACAGCCAACATGACCCGACTTCTGTCCGGCTCTGCAACAAGCAAGACTGCCTCAACGTCGACGCCAAAACTAGCCCTGTACTACCCAATCAGTATTTCCACCAGACCCAGTACCTCATCCAGCACAAAGGTTCAGTATGCTGGTTCTACGAAAAGGACTGCTCCGTTACCGAAAGCCCCATCTTCGGTCAAGTAGCCAGGGACTCAGATCTCAAATTATACGGACCCGCTGTTGCCCTGTTCGGTGCAATCCGATGTGAGTCGCTGACTCGCGAGCGCCGTCACCGTCAACGCTCCGTCATGGAGTCCCGTAGGGTAACATCTGCACCCGAACCCCTCGCCATCACTGCCACACCCTCAGACGCCTCTGCCAGCTCTGTCTCACCCCCTGGCAACCCCACCACAATCAAGTTCTGCAATGTGCAAGGCAGCGGATCAGCCTGCGTGTGGCTACCTGCTCCTGACAAGTGCACGCTTTTCCCCGAGGACTGGGTGCTCAAGGCGCTCACGGTCCATCAGGAGAAGGGTAGTATTTGTAAATACTACCTTGATGACTGCAATGGCCTGGTCATGCATGAGTTTGCTACACGGGATACCGGTTTTACGTTCGGTGGGCCTGGTCTCATTGCTTGGGGTGCGGTTTCGTGCAGCGTACTCTGAGCGTCTCGCTGGAGGAGAGAGGGACGATGGATGACGATTCCCGTGATGATTGGGGCATCTTCTTTGCTAGAGAGCGGAACTTTAGCTCAAAGGAAATGCCTAATACAAATGCATCGGACCTTTCCGGTTGGAGGATGAAGCCATCAAAGGGGGAACATTCAGAAATCGATGATATAATAATTTCACTCTGATCTTCACTTTGGCAACTGCTTCGTACTGTCGTGATTGGTGATGTTTTTTTGTGACATTGTCGCGCCACGTTACTTTAAAAAGTAGTTGATCATTCCACGTCTTTTGTGCGAGTTCAAAACAGCAACATGCTTGCCATTTATTGTATCTTCATGGGTTTTGGTTGTTATATTGACTGGTTCCAATAAGAATGATGTTTGTTTTCTCTCATGCTGTTGTTACTTCTACTCGGAAGACTATCATCATTATATCATTACCCTGGCCGTCTGTTATATACTTACGGCGTTATATGCTGTACTATGCTCTGCTTCCCCTCCGGCTATGCTTTCCTCGGTTTTCTCTTTGCTGCGCTGCGCTTCTCAGACCCATGCCTGCATTCATCGAATGCACAAGTCCAACTCGATGTACAGAAAAGAGCAAAAAAAAAATTACAAAAAAAGAATTGGCCCCAGTGACCAAAACAATGCCGCTCTTCGTTCAGTGGTGGAGAACCTTCTCCTCAAACAAAACAGACAATCCCACCCACCCAAACATGACACAGCAGGAAAGCCTTCCCCCCTATACGCTTCCATTGTGCTAATCCCGATTAATGACCCTCAAACTCCGCCTCGGATTCAATAGCACACCCCTCGTGCCCCAGAAACTAGGCTCACTGCCATCCAGCAAGTCCTCCGTCACACTGCCGACACTACTCCGCCTATCCCACTGGCCCGCAGCGGCAGCCGCGGCAGCCGCATTGTCCGCACTCGTCATGCGCTGCACGTCGAAACTGCCTGCGGCGGCGCCGTGGGAACTGCCACCGAGGGTGGTGCGCGCAGCGCGCTCACTGCTATCCTTGGTCGAGCTTGCGGTAAATGTGTTTTGCTTTTCTGCATTCGCGCGCGTGGTCACCATGGCCGCGTGGGCCTTCCAGATCTTGACTTGCTTGCGGTAGATCCAGGCGCAAAAGGCAAAGTAGGCTGCGACAACGAAGAAGACGCCGGCGATGACGCCGGCGATGATGGCGCCGACGTTGGGGCCGCTGGAGCCGCGATTGTTGGTGTTGGAGCCGCCGACGACCTGGGTGATGGTGGCGCCGTCCGGTCCAGTGACGGTGTAGGTTTGTGGTCTTCCTGTGGCAAGGGGACCAAGGGTGGCGGATTGCACGGGCGCGGTGAGCGTTGCGCCGCCTGTTGGGCCGCCACCTACGACTTTTTGGACGGCCTCTGGTACGGCGTAGCCATAACTTCCGCTTAGTCCTGCGTCCACGCCAAAGCCACGCTGGTTGGCTTGTTGGGCGAGCGGGTTACCCACGCTTTCTTTACCGGTGTAGGGTTGTGTAGCCCGATCACCGGTGAGGGCGGTGAATTGGTTGGACCAGGATAAACTCGTCATGTTGAAGACGTAGATTCCGGGCGCGTCGCATGAGATTTCCTGACCAACGTAGCCGCCGACTACAATGAGCTGACCGTCCCATACATGGCATTGATGACCGGCGCGGGCGGGAGGCGCGCTCTGTTGGGAGGTGCCTTGGTCGACTTTGATCCAGGTGAATGAGGGCACGGAGAGGATCCACATATCGGATTTTTGGGTTTGGGCTTGGGCAGGCTGCAGGTTTTGGCCACCATACATGTAGACATTGTAGGAAGAACCACTAAAGAGAATCAAGGTTTAGCAAAGTGCATTGGGACGTCATGATCAAGGAGGCTTACTCTGCAGCAGCGGCGACGGTGGTACAAGTGTTGACGCGGTAGTCTGGTAAATCGCCTGCGGTGCTCTGCTTGTACCATGTCGAGTTTGCAATGTCGTAGACGTCGATGACATTCATCTGCGTCTGGGGCTAGTTAGCGTGCCGATCATCTCTCTGTTACAGACGTCTATTGCTCACAAAAGTGTCGTTGTCGCCACCCGTAAGTCCAAGCAGGATACCCTCAGCGCCAAATCCAGGAATGTAAACAAGTGCACCGTCAGCGCGAGACGGAAATGATCCAGAAGTCTGGAGTCCACCTTCGGTGATGTTTCGAAACACGCCATCTGGCCCAGCCGTCTGGCCACCTGCCAGGCTATCCACAGCATTGTTGGTCTCTCCAGGAAAGGTAAACTCCAACAGACTCTTCAAGTAAACTCGTGCAACCTGATTGCTCCACCCTTCTGTCGTGAAGTCGTCCAGATGGCCGCCAAAGTACCAGCCTCTTCCAAGTGTGCTAACACTAAAGCCAGCACCTTCGGCCGCACGCTGCACGCTCTGTCCATCGCCCTCTGCGTTTTGGCCAGCACTTGTTTTCGGGTCCTTGTGCTCAATCCATTCCCTTCTGCCGATATTATACTCCCAGATCGAGTTGGGCCCAGGTGCTTTCTTGGGAGAATCAGAGTATTGGCCGCCGTAAAGCCAAAGTGAAGTGTGTGAGGACCAGAGTTGACCAAGAGAGACGGCCGGTGGACCAGAGGGAATAGGAAGGCCTGTGAGGGAGGGGCCTGAGACTTGCCATGACTTGGTGAGATCGAGGGAGAGGAAATGGTTGGCTAGGTGCAAGTCAGCATGTAAGCACTCGCAAGACACGATCGGATCGTCAAGTTCAACCTACTCCAAGTGTTGTCGGTTTGTTTCTGGTCAGTGGTGGTGCGGAAACCGTACATGTACAGCGTTCCATTGACAATGGTGCTTTGCCCGCTCCAGCGCTTGCACACGTCGACGGGTGAATCCTCTCGTTTGACAAGCGTCATGGCTTGGGAATTCGGCCGGTTTCCGTCCTCTGGGATGATGGTTCCCACGACTCCTATCCGAGACATTGGATTCATCGACAGAATGGGCAGCATAATCGCGAGTACAAGACTTAATAAGCCTAAGCGACACAGCTTCGTCGATATGGTATATTGCGTAGGTACAAGAGGGGTGATGGGCGCAGTCGCTTCCTTGTGGTCGTCCTCGTCGCCATCAACAGACTCCCAGTCGCTTCCATCGTCTTCCTGTGGTTGTCTCTCATTAATGACATCGTTGCGACTCCGAAAGCGCAGCATCTTGGCCGGTCGCATTTGCTTCAACAAATGTCCATGTGTCCTGACTGGGCTCCTTTCCTCACGCAGCCGATCCTGATCCACGAGCCCAACCTCGGCGAAGATCGACATGCGATGCCTTTCGCCGTTGGCGACGGGTTTGGATTGCGCTCGCTGCATGGCCGTGTTGTCGTTTTGCAAGTCGGCAGTCGGTCCTCAGTGGTCGCGTGCGAATGGTGAGGACCGTCCGTTGTCACGAGTGGTGCGGTGTTTGTTGTCGAGAGTAAGCAGTAACGACGGATAAATAGGATGGATGACGTCGCAGCTCAGGAACAAGGAGACCAACCTGGACAGAGTCTCTCCTTGTAGCGAAGAAAACAATGAAACGAGCTTAGGGTAGCAGCCAAGGTGCTACCTATAGGAGAGGGATCAGTGGCGATTTGCCCGTCCTGTTGGCAGAATTATATGCGACGAATTAGGTCTAAGCAGCCGCTGAGAATAAACATTTGGGTGTGTGACGCGACACAGACGGTGGATTTAACTTTGAGAGTTTCGTTGAGTAGCACAGTACCTAGTGAGCGTAGTGAGGCGATGCAAATGCCCATGCGCAACCGAGAAATACGAACAGACAATTCACTGCCTAGGTCACTCTCACCCGAGTGATCTCACTGCACGCACAGATATTGCAAGGCTGACAGGAAGCCTATAGAGGCAAGAGAGAGCTCTTTAGAGGAAGAGAAAGAGAGAAAGTGAACAAAACAGAGAGACAGAGAGACAGAGCGAGAGAGATGCTAGAGACAAAGCAGAGCAACAGACCGCATGTCATACCCGAAATGAATGTTCTTCATCGCCCCGCCGTAAGCGCATCGCCGGTTCGTCTAGAAGCCGCTCTGCGCAGGCGTATGAATGGCCCGCTCAGGCAGGTGTTTGTTCACGAGACGTCATACGGAGGCTACTTTTGGAAATGATCGATATTTCCATGATTGGACTGTACATGGGGAGGCATGACATTGGACAAAGATGGTTGTATACCAAGCATGCGAAGCGGCTGAAGCGTGACATGTGCCAAGCCTGTCAGTCTTTGTAACAGGGAACTTCGTAGACGTTTGAGAGAGAGAGAGAGAGAGAGAGAGAGAGAGAGTGTGTGTGTGTGTGTGTAAAAAGAAAGAGTGTAAGAAAAAACTGACTGATGAACATGATTGACTATTGTCGAGCGAGAAATGGTATATGGTGGTGGTGGTGGTGGTGGATTGATTGATTGCTTGATTCTTATACCCACAGCAGTAAAGTTGTACCGGTAGAGGCCATGAAGTACCGGTAGCTGAGGGTCAGTTCCGCGGATGCAGCTTTGCACAACCATTTCCTTTTCTCCTGAGTGGCATTCCACCTGACACCTTCTCTAGCATGCTTACCTACTATGGTCCCATATGAAGCTCATGGCGCACAAAGACGACAGATGACAGACGATACATAGACCACCACCCACATAAGTACCTATGTACTTCCTACTCTACTACTGTACGCTCTACTCCAGCTGGAACCCTAGTTTCTATTTTAGAACTGACTGCTGGCCCGATATGACTTAGCGGCTGGTGAGCACCCGAGAAATCGACCCGTTGCAGATCGTGGCTGTGCGGTGCGAATGCCGGTCCTACTGCTGCTAACAAAGTTTGATTCAACTACTATACACTGTAAGCTAAGCAGTAGAGTAGGTGTCGTAGTTATATTGTACTTGTATTGCTTTGCACGTAATGGTTCATCTTTGTGGTGCCAAGGCCCAAACGGCTACCCAGGGCAGGGAGTGTACATTCTCGTAAGCTACTCTTCCACAACTACGGCACCTGTCTCCTTTCAATCGCAAGAGTGGACAGCAGTTTCCCGGGGGTATCGTATACGCCATAACCTTGCATGCAAATCCAAATCTTCATCAGTCAATATAGACAACCCGTCTTCTGCCATCACACCAAGTCACAATCCCGCCTCACTATCGGCCTCATCGCTCTCAGTAATGATAGCTTTTGACTTCGCCACTGGCGTCTTAGAGACCTTCGACTTTGCCAGTCCGTCCACTGCCGTATTCCGCTTCTTTCTCTGACGAGTCGGCTGAGATTCTTGTAGGCTTTTTCGTCCAGCCATCTTCCTCATCCTCTTCCTCTTCGTATTGGAACGTATTGTGGGTATATCTTCTTCCTCATGTCCATCAGCAGACTCCATCTCGACATCGAATGGGTTGTAGTGCATAGCCAGTTCCCCGCCGTGTTCTTGGTCTAGGTAATCGATCACTGCATCCAACCTGTCCTGAAGCGACTGTTGCTCCTGCACGTCGTCATCGTCTTTAACAATCGCTAGCAAGTCCCGCAGCGCGGCTTGCAGAGTACGTCTTGACCATGCCTGCCTCATCTTGGCTGCCGTCGCGTCCCAATCAATGTCCTCTTCTCGTTGGTATCTAGCGTCAGCAATAGTTTCGACAAGATCCAACTTGTCGCCCCACAACATGGTTCCTACACCATCTGCGTCGTGGACGGACCTAGTATTTGGCTGGTGTGACGTAGGAGTTGCAGGTGCTACCTGCTTTTGACGTCGACCAGACTTGCTTGTGAGCCGTCGAGGTCTTTTTGCGCTGCCTGCTTGAGTGCGGATCCTTGGTCGCGGTGTCGTGGCAGGTATCGGCTTAGCATCCGGCCCCCGTGGTTTGATATGCACTCGGATCTCTGGAGGATTCTCACGAGCCATCATCTTCTTCCACTTGACCGAAGCTTGCAGGCGGCCGCGAGTGTTACCCATCTCTGCAACAACCTGGGACCAGTTGATATTCTCGGCAGTATATACTTCCCGTGGCTGATGGCCCGCTTCGTATTGGGCGTCCTCATCCCTTTGCGCAACAGTATTGACGGCGCGGATGAGTAGGGCTTCTTCCTTGTCCGTCCAACGACCATACTGCCTCTTTTCACGATGCTGCAGGTATTCCGACCAGCGAGCGTGGACATCTGTCTTGGACCGACCCATAAGGGCGCCAATCGCCTTCCATTGCCTTGGCGCCTGCTCGAAGCTCCGAAGTAGCTCATCGTCCTCCTCTTTGGTCCAGCCTCCTCGCTTGAACTCGTGGTAATGAGAACGAATGTGCTTTCTGATTGCTTCGAAGCCACGCGTCAATGTCCCGCTGACCAGTGTCCGGTTCATGTCATCCCAGAACTCCCGGGACTCGGAGTTACGTGAGTCTGTGTCTTGCGCAACCCCGGCTTGCAATCTATCGTTGCTATCATTCATCGTCCACTGAATCACCTTGACCATCTCACTGACTTCCCACCCCCTCATCTGTTGATAGTCGCGAATGGCTCTGCGTATGAGCTCTTCTTCGTCAGCAGAGAAGTCACCACTAGTGCGTTTGTCAGGGTTGATGGGCAAGTCGCGGACTTTTTGAAGAGCTTCTTCAGCTGCCGATATGGTGTTCAAGTTCTTCTTCTTGTGAAGTTTTGGTGGTTCAGGTTCTCGCACATGCTGTTCTGATTCGCGACTGTTGCGCTTCCTAGTATTCTTCGACCGTCGTTGCTTGACAGTCTTCTTGTCACCTTGGTTCGGAATTGATCTTGGTGAGGCTCTGGAGTCAGAATCTTCTACAGCACCATCGTCCATAGCAACGCCCTCCACAACACTGTCCTCTGTAGCAATATTTTCAGGTTGCATGGAGTCTACAATGCTGTCGAGAGCGTGTTCATCAAAGACACCCACGTTGGGTCTCGAGTCGATAGTTTGGGCGGGTGACACTTTCCAATCATAAACCTGGGACTTGAACTTTTTCTTGGCTGAGCTGCTGGATGAGTCCACTTTTGGTAGTGGTTCTTTGGAAAGTCTTTGCAACGGGTCTGAGTGTTTCCGCAGAATGTTGGAGGGGCTTCGCAGCGGTTCTGTGGGCGTCTGTAAAGATGGTGCACGTTTGTCATTGCCCTGAACGGCCTGTCTATTGCTATGACGTTTTGTCGCCTTCCTGACAGTTGGAAACTTCTCGCCCGGTACTTCAGGACTGCCTTGAACGAGATGGCCATTGAGGTTTTGGTCGCCGTCCTGGGCAGCATCCTCCGGAGTTGACTCGATTGGGTCCTCGAAATGGCTGTCCTTTGCTCTTTTCAGCTTCCTCTGCCGCTTTTTGGAACCTGCTTCTGCGGCTTTCACCAGGTAAGGCGTGAGCAGAGATGGACGTGACTTCAGCTTACGAGTCGTCCGAGGCTGAACGGTTACGGGATCCGTCTCTTGAGCATGCTTTGATTGCGTTGTGTCCGGCTCTTCCATCTGGTCGAGCGGTGTTCTTTCCTCGATTTCGTCCAATTGTGTATCCTCGTCCTGGAGCAGGTTATGTTGCGACCTCGAAGTTGATGTGAGACCAGAATTGCTTGCAGCATCACCTTTTGCATTCTGGTGATGGCCCATTTCCAGCTCCGGCGACCTGTCGCGTGCTACTTCTTCCTCGTCTCTCGTAGCCTTCCTTTTTCGCGTTCGAGATTTTGGAGTCGGCAACTCAGGCATACTTGCTGGTATAAGCGCACTAGAGGTCATGGGAGGAGACAAGGGCGCCGTGTCGGCGATGAGTTGCGAGTCTGGTACCTGGACAGCAGCCTCACTGGATTCGGTCTCCGCGAAAGGTTCTTGGTCACCGGGCGCCTCGTTGCCCTCGTAGTCGTGCGATGCCCCGACGCTTTCCTCAACATAAGCTTGTAGCGACGCCAGCTCAAACGACTGCAGCCTTCTAGTATCGCTCTTGCGCTTCTGCCTCGCAGCCAACTGCCGTACCGACGGCGACACACCACTAGCCGTTGCCATACTGCTATCTAGTCCCTGATCCGCTCGACTCTCGCTCACAAGCTGCTGCGAAGCCGCGAAGTCGTCCGTGCCGGGGCCTGCCACTCCAGGAGTGATTGTCAGTCATACACGTGCGCCAAATTTGTCGCGTTGAAGCGCGCTGTAGCCATGTGGGTATACATACTATAGCAGCGAGACATACCTGTGGAAGTTGCAGCAGACGAAGGCGCGTCGTGCTGCTGGTTCGAATGATCGGGTTGCGACGATGAGACGCCCATGACACGAGCTTCAACTGGGCATTGTGGAGTGTCGGGTGGAGAGGAAGAGTGAGAGTGAGAGGTACCAGGAGAAGAACGCGTCGATATACCTATATTGCGCGCAACAAACTTTGGGTCATGAGCTTTCGTCACGAAGTTACTATCACTATTACCTAGTTGCGGACGTATGTAGTTAGGCGTTAGCGTTCCCGCCGCAGATTCAGAGCTAACTAAATCTGGCTTCTACATAGAAACATGTACCTATTTCCTCCATAAAACGGGTCAGGAAAGGCTGCAGAAGGCGCATTATGCAAAGGCTACACTACGGTCTCGTCTTCGAATCAACTGGTCTGCAAAGTTTGAACGAGGTCTGATTAGCCTACTATATATACACAACCTCGTTGGGTGAATACATGTACGATATGCACAGATAGTAAATATGCGTCGTATACACGTACTTTCCCCTCCCCTTCTAAGAAAAGCAGACCCAAGCCCCAAACACCAAGGCCTCGAGCAGCAGAGTCAAGATTGCAATGGCCATGGCAGGCCCAACACGATCACTCTTCTGCAATCTTTGATCCACCCTCCATCCTGAGCCCCGAGCCCCCAAAAACACCCATAGTAGAGCTGCAAGTACACTCAACACCATCATGACTGTCAGCGCAGCCAAAATACGGCGTATTGACAATGAGTGGACAAACTGAATCGTCGTCAGGGCATCGCTTGACGAGCTTGGTAGTGCTGCATCGTCTGAGAAGGGACTGAAACTGGATTTCTCCCGAAATCGAGAGGGGCTATCGAGACTCCTTGCACGCCTGCGAGACCGTCTAGACGCAGGGGATTCGCACGTGAGGGAGATATGGGTCGCATCGTTTGATGCTGCGACACGGCGGGCCCAGTGCACCCATGTGTATCTTGCTTGACCAGTCTTCGGTGAGCGGTACAGCTTCATCAATCCGTCTTCAGTGAATGGCGAGTGTGAATCAGAAGTCCCGTCAATACCCTCTCCTACGGCTAGGAGGCCCGAGACACCAAACTCTGAATCCTGCGTTACGGTGCCACTCCAGACACTTTTTTGGCCGAGTTGGATATATCGCAATTTACGTGCGCTGAATGTTCGAAACAACCAGCGTCCCGCCAGTCGCCCGTGCCCGGCCCGGAGTAGCTCGGCAAAGATTCTGTCATCGAATTCGACATCTCCTCTCGGCCTCCCTTTTTTGCCAATGTGATCCGGACTGCTAACGGCAAGACTGCTTGGAACGTCTATACGCACTAGCTTTCTACGCGTATATCTCCCGCTAGTCCATATAGGTGATCGTCCGTGTAGGCTCAGCCAAACCACACTTTCTTTACTTTCAGTTCCAGAGCCAGCGCGACTCCTAATGACGCCTTGAGCATCTTCATTTCTTTCCAGTCGACTCCTCAAGTCGATATCGCCACTGATAGTCGGTAAGCCGAGAACATGTTTGCCTTTGTTAGCATCATAGTTCTGCTGTACTCCGTCATCGTAGCCGCTATCCAATCGGGCAAGCTCAGGTTGTCGCGGTCTTTGCTTTGGCTTTGGAAACTCCTTTTTAGCGGTAAATGGGTACGGGGTTTTGACGAAGTGGCCAGGAAGATGCGCAGGACGATCCCCCTCCACAGTCGATAGTGGTGGCAAATTGATATGCCGACTACTAGTGAATGATGTGAATCTGGGAAAGTCTGAGCTGGTGGTTGAGCGAAGGAAGGTAAGATTACGCGAGTCTGGTGCACTTCTTGCTGGGGATACGTTGAGGGCTTCAAGAGCTCGCATAGTTGTGACATGAGCGTTTATAATGGAATCAGCGAGTATGCTTTCTGACGTGTTTCTGCGATGATGTCCTTGATAGCTATTACTTCGAGGTCGCATCGCTGCCTGTTCTGGCCGTGTCACCTGGAGAGGAGTCCTGAGCTCGGCGACTGGGGATCCAGCATCGGAGTCGTTACTTCTGAGCGAGTCGCGTGGTGTACCGGCACTTCTAGGGGTACCGCCGCTCGACCTGTTGTGAATGACCTGTACATCATCTCTCCCTAATCGTCTGAGTGACATGGGTCGTGCTCGTCGGGTACCCTTGGTATCGACAGGACTTGATATACCCAATCCCGAATCGATTTGTCCCGGCAGTGCATGATAGGATGGAAGTGCGGTCATGCCATCTCTTTCTCTGCTCCTGCCCCGCGATACACGGTCTTCACTGGATTCCAGTCCGTGCAATAAGCTTCCCAAGACAAGCCCTTCCACTGCAGGAAAGCTCTGAGTCAGGTCCCCCTCACTGTCTTCCCACTCGGACCCCGAAGATCCATCATCGAAGAAGTCGGCTCCTGGGTTCATTCCACGCTCCATCGTCTTGCTCATCGTAGGGTGTACGGATCCTCTTCGCGCTGGCGGAGGATCTACTATACGCGGAGACGAAGCGGGACTAGATGATATCCTGGCGGACGGGTGGTTGAGGAAGATGGTCTGTGTCGCGTCCGGCGTGGTTGGAGGAAACAGCGGCGAGACCGGATTTTGCTTCAAGGGCGAGACCCTCGAGAGGGATTGTGGCGAGGTCTGTATGGTTTGTGTAGACTCCATGATCCTGTGCCTGGCGAATCGTGTCAAGGCAAAGCGAAACGAGTCCAAACTTCTACACACTCTGGAAGTCCACCTTTTCTCTTCTTGCGCGAAAAGAATGATCGACACGGTTCAGGCCAAGGACATGAAACGTACTTGGATTGAAAAGGAACAAACCGGTTATGGCCAACAAAGACGCGAACAAAGTATCGTGTGCGGGGCGGTGGCGAGCATGCAGGTAGTAAGGCGGGAGAGGTACGGTAAACAAAGAAGGAACGTACGAGAGATTGCAAATCTGATTCCGGCAATTCTTTGCTCCGGTATTTTGGTAGAGCCCGCATAGGGTTGGAATGCAGGTACGCTCTCGTCAGGTTGAGTAGTGTTCCCAGCCGCATTCCGCAAGTCTCTCTCCCTTGCGCGGAAACGCTCACGTGCTGTAGCGGTAGAGGTACGGACTCAGAAACCATGGAGAGGGTACAATAATTGTGTCTGTCTCGAATCGAATTGACGAATGTACCACCCTATCTAGAAAGCCCTTGGTCTACACGGACATTGTGTGGGGAATCAGAACGCCAATTGTAATGCCACCAAGACCTAGGTCGTCAAACATGATTCAAACAGAATGGAATGCCTCGCACGGCGCAGGGTGAAACGCCTTTATTCACCGTCACGGTCGAACATTTTGGTCATGGCTTTCTGTGCCAGCTCGACACCAGCAAAGGTCGCTGCATTGGCAGGTACCGCTCGCGCCATGGCGGGCCCGATGCCAGGGAAGAAGGCCTTGAAGCCACCGCTCGCGTGGATTCCCTTGATGGTGCCGCTGATGGTAGGCCGTCCCTCTGCGCTCTGCAAGCGGGACTTGATTGTGTCAATGGGGAAGACGGGAATCCACATGGCGATACCTGCCGCACCACCGGCGACCATGACGGCAGACATGCTGAGGGCTCCGGGCTGGCCGGTGACGGGGTCCTTGGGCGTGAGTTTGCGCTTGACTGTCTCGTACGTGGCAAAGTAGAAGGCTGAGCCAGGGCCGTCGCGCGCAAGTGTCATGGCAGAGCCACGAAACACGGACCGCATGCCACCTTCCTTGTAGAGTTGTCTGACCACGTCGAGTCCGCCCGAGTACCGTGGCTTCTCGCCGGGTGCCAGCTGCTTCTGGCCCTGGATTTGGAGGAGCACCTTGACGCGCTCAAAGGGCGCCGTAATGAGCGTCATAGGTATGGCGCTGAAGAAGCCGGCGGCTGAGACCTGGGCCACGCTGAACTGGTTGTTCTCCACCTTTGACACGCTCGAGACCAGCTGCTTGCCCAAATCGTAGCCCCAGAAGGAAACAGCGACTGTGATGGAATGGTTAGCTTCATGGTATAGAATTATGAGCTTCCTCGACTCCATGAGGAGTTTTGTTGATATGAGGAAGCAGGGGGGAACGAGGAACTGGATGGACCTACACATGGGCGTGACGCCCACCAGTGGCGCCGAAACACCAGCATACAGTCCTCTGGCAAGCCCTTCTTTTGCAATCGTCTTCTTCACCACATCCATGGCGCCGCTGTACACGCCTTTCTCGGCCGTCTGCATGCGCACCTTGACCAGGTCAAATGGATGGCCCACAACCACGGCGCAGACACCGCCGACACCGCCTGCGAGAAGGGCCCGCAGCGACTGCATGGATGATTTGGACGCAGCCTTGACATCTTCCTTGAGCTCTTCTGGCGACGGGAGCTTTTCCGCCATCGCATCTTTTGCGTTGGTCATGACTGAATGTTTGCGGGGTGATTGTGCGCGAGCTGTGTACCGGTCGGTACCTAGACTGCAAGAGAGAGCTCAGAGGAAAGTCAAGAGTGATGGCGGGCAGACTAACGTTACCGATCGATGCCGTGCCACAAGTTCAACAGAAGCAGCGTTGTGAGATTATGTGAAATCAATTCAGTGCCAACTTCCAGGACAGCAGAGCAGGACGTCGAAAAGTCGTTCAAGCATGTGAGCTATCAGTGTGCCCTGGGGTTCTTGGCCGACGTGCGCCGTCGGTTCCAACCTCGCTGCTCGGTTGTGGTTTGGGGGGGGGGGGGAGAACTTTTTTTGTGTATGCCGAGGCACGCAGTCACGCAGTCACACCCACAGTAGCTTTGCCCTGGCCATCAGCAGCACACTGTACTGTGTATCATTCCTATACGGCTACCGGTAGTAGGAAGATGTACCTACAGACAGATAAATGAATGAATGAATGAATGAATAAATAAATAAATAAATATATATATATATATAAATACAAAAAGTCTCTTCCAACTTCCTCGCTTGCCGTCTACCGGTACCAGTAGTGGCAGAGAAATGCTTCTTCGACCATGGACTTACTTGTCACCAAGCAGGTTCCTCCTTGCCGGCAACCCAAGGCGCGACCAGCGGCCTCGGTCCAACGGCTGCTCCTCGTGAATCGTGATGAGGGCCATGAGGCTCTGCTACAATACCCTGTACCGGTAACGTCCCGATGCCTCCAAATGTCTTGATTGGCTGTGACGTTGTGGATACGGGCATGTGATAATCCGGGGTTCCTTACCGGTAACGTTACACCCTTTTCTCCGACCCTGGGTACCTATACCGGTACGGTAGTACCATACACTGTGACACAGGTCGAAGCATCGCGAACAGCTTGACCCATTCTCCTAAATACAGAATACACCAAACGAAGAATCTAATCCTCGTTTCTTCGCGCAAGATGTTCATTCATTCACACTGTCGAGCAGAAACATCAAATCGTTCCTCTCTTTTCTCCAAACTACCGGTAACGTCTCCGAGCCCCAGTCCGCTGGCGACGACAAAAGTGGTTGGCCCTTCTACTACGTAAGAAAGAGTGCTCTGACCTGTCTGCAGCAGATTAATTTATTTTCCATTCTGATTTAATGTCAACCTCAGCGTTCCTGTCCCACTCACTTCTCTTGCTCTGTGTATGTACCGGTATTGCCCTTTCATCACTTGTCTGCGCCTCCTCTCCTCCTGCACTGTCACTGCGCCAGAATCTCAACATTACCCATCTTGCTTAGCTTCTTCAGTTCCCTAATCTATCCTTCTTGAGTCAATTCATCTCTACCAAGCCTTTTTTAAATCTACTTTCGCCATGTTGATGCTCGCCCTCGTTCTTACAGCAACCAACCCCCGTTTGCAAAGCGCAAGCACCAACGCCGCTCAAATCTTCAACCCGCCTTCACCATCACCATCGCTCTCCGATCCCCCCAACCTCGCTGCTGCCTATCGGATTAATCATTTCGCCTGATACCGTGATTTTGTAAGCGAGGACCCTGAGAGCACATAAAAGCCCCCACCCGCCCGCTGCTGCCTTCTTCCTTCTTCCTCACAACTCTTGCTGCCGCTTACAAGTATCTACCAGACGAGTCTGCGCAAGCCCCTGCGGGATTTGCCTGGGGATGCTTGCGTGGAGATACCCTTGAGTGGGCATGTGAATGCTAAGCTGGACGGCGGTCTTTGCGCAGGGCACATACAAAGTAACTTTTCTTCCTTCCACCCACTTGTTCTTGTCGCAGTCACTGACACCGCCCAGCCTAGGGACTCATGACAGAATATCGCTTGGCTTGGCCTTGCGTGCGGGTATTGCTGTACAGGTATGGACAGGCGACTGTTATACAGTTTCACGGAAGCATCGACCATCTAGGCATGCGGATCTGCGACGGTGCCATACCTATGGGGGCTGCTGCTCTGATCTTCGGGCTCGCAGCAGGCGTACTTCACTGTACAGTGTCGAGGAGCGGATGGGCTTTGGTGCATGTTCACTGCGGGAGTCTCGTGTGGTAATTTTTTACATACCTCATCCAAGATCTTGATCTTGTCGAGTCGGTGCCTTGGCACGTTAACTTGTTTTTCGTCGATGCTTCTGGATTTGCCCAGTACGTGGAAGAAGAAAACACATTTGAGCTTGATCATGGGCCTAGGCTAGTATAAAATACTGCGCTGTAGTTGAGGGCCAGGCCTCTCGAGTACTCGATTCATAATGCCATCGTTTTCGTTACATATATGTGTTCACTCCCTATTTCCCAACATTCGTGAACCGCAAGTACTTCTTGACTTCCCTGACTTGCCCAAACTTCTTCCTCGCTTCCTCAGTACTCACGCTTGGAGGTACAATGACATCATCCCCAACCTGCCAGTCAATTGGTGTTGCAATACCCTTTCTGTCCCCAGTCTGCAGACTGTCAATCACCCTCAACACCTCACTCGTATTGCGACCCGTACTCGCAGGATACAGCATCGTCAGCCTGATCTTCTTTGCTGGATCGATGATGAATACTGCACGGATAGTGAAGGCGATGCCAGTCCCTGCCTTTTCAAGTGCATCCAGGTCGTCTTGCGAGATCATATCGTAAAGGAAAGCGACACGGCGATCGGCATCGGCAATGATAGGAAATTGGACGGTAGTGGAGGCAACTTCGTTGATGTCAGAGATCCATTCATCGTGGGAGGACAGGTCGTTGGCGCTCTGATTTGCTGTTAGTGCATGGAATTGCGTGTGGGTGGACGTGGAAAATATCGGGGATAGCGTACGAGGCCGATCATCTGGACGCCACGAGCGTCGAATTCATGCTTGAGTTTTGCAAACGCGCCGAGCTCGGTAGTACAAACTGGAGTGAAATCGGCTGGATGTGAGAAAAGCACAGTCCACTTGTTGTTGAGGAATTCGTGGAAGTCCTAGGGCGGTTAGATGTATCCTGGCATATACATTTGCGCGGATTAACCGACAATGTCTCCATGTGTAGTCTTTGCCTGAAAGTTGGGCGCTATTCCCTGTCAGCGTATCCCTATCTAGGTATGTCAGAAGTGCAACATACCTATAGATCCCAGCCTCAGTCTTGGCTGCTCAGCGGGGATCGCAATCCCGCGACGAAGGTTAGGGACAGCGGGGCGCTGGAAATGCAGCAGCATAGGGCGCGCTGAAGACCGTAAAGCTCGGGGAGCTGCACGGGGCAGAAATGAAGCCATTGTTGCGTCTCAATTGGCAGATGAACAATCGTCACAACCGCTTTAGAGCTGTTCACGAGAGGGGGAAATTGGGTTCAAAGGTTTACCTACTGAACCGCATAGGGCGGTGGTGTGAGTACCTAACACTGGGCATGGCGTCATTCCGACTCGGAACTCAGGCACGAAGACGGACCGAAACGGACCGACTAGGTACGACACAATACTAGATGTGTAAGCACACCATTACTGTCCAGCTTCCTGCCAGCTATCGTTATTCTCACGGTGGCACATGTAGCTTGAGATATTTCAGACGTAACTCGGTAAAATCCAATGAGCTTCCGTGACACTCATAGTGTATCAGGGAAAGAGCCTTCTCCTTCTCCTGTATAGCGCGTCACATCGCGAACGAATCTCGAACATGACGTCACATGTGGCATGCCATTCGCCGGGCTTGCAGTCCCGCAAGAATATCTTGGTCAGAAGTACGGGGGATACAGACAAGGAACGAAGCTTACCTCTTGCGCAAGAGAGGGTCAATAAAAGAGGCTGTCAATCACCGGTGAACGGGGGCTTCTGCATCTAGAAGGCCGTCAAGCCGCACACCACAGATACCACGGTGGCAGTCGATACACTCAGCGCATATTCCAACCCGTTTCCCTCATTACCGAACACGAAATCAAAATGCCAATAACATCCTTCGATTTCGAACAAAGCCGCTTCCTCCACTTTAATAGCGGCCATCCACGCATCTACTTTACAAGCAGCATCCCTCTCTCCGAAAAAGACATTCTGACCTGGACTGAAGAAGGCTTCTCTCCTCAATATCTGCCCTACGACCCTGCAGAGAAAGACAACTACATCCGAGCTCTTAAATCACTCCACGAGAACTTGGCCTTGGGAGATAACTATGCGCTCATCGCCTACGGCGATGCCGCGAGCGTGGTATTGAAAGCGGCGCAAAAACCACTGGTGAAATGCTGTGCGATTATTGCATACTATCCGACTCAAGTTCCTGACCCGAAGATCAAGTATCCGAATGCACAGGCACTACAAATTCATGCTGCTGGTCTGAGTCCAGGGAGTGCGGGAGCGAGGGCTCATATGTATGAGTGGAGCTTGTATCAACATGAGAAGTGTTCCCCTGGGTTCGCTGAGCCTGTGAGCAAGACGTACAAGCAGATTGAAGCAGATCTGGCGTGTGCACGTTCACTTGCATGCATCCGCAAAGGCTTCAATAGACACCTTGATCTTGAACCACTGGTACAGGGACTATGGGATGCAAAGTACACGGATGATGTACCGGAGAGGGCCAGCATGACCATGGTGAAGGGTATGTCGCAGAATAGCCCGCATGTTACTATCTTCCCAACTCTGGAAGGCGGTATTGGGCGAAAGAAACTGGAAGAGTTCTACAGAGAGTTTTTCGTCCCGAGTTTGGTGGAGGACTTCGATATACGACTGATCTCACGGTCAGTGGGAGTGATCCGCGTGGTGGATGAGATGCTGGTATCTTTCACGCATGACGATGAAGTGGATTGGATTTTGCCTGGTGTCCCCCCGACGGAAAAGTTTGTGCAAATTCCCATGGTTAGTATTGTGGCGGTTGTGGGAGGCAGACTAGTATCGGAGCATATGTATTGGGACCAGGCGTCGGTGCTGATGCAGGTTGGCCTCCTTGATCCAAAGCTCGTACCGAGGCATCTGAAGAGTAAAGGGCTCAAGAAATTACCTGTCGCGGGAGCGGAGGCGGCGAAACAGCTGATCGAACCACAGCAACAGAGATACAACAAGTTGTTACAGGATCATGGTTTGTTGAATGGACTGTAGAATTGGGCGACCAACGATGACTACCCGGCAGTGGTCTAGTGTGCGCAACTTGGCATAAAGTGTCTATCATCCGATGAAGCTGCATGTAGGTAGTTTGTAATCCTTGAGTACCCAGTACTTTCGTCGCAACCCGTCCCATTCACTTTGCCCATCCAGATCGGGAACCGGTATCGTCTCCCACTCTGTGTCGAATCCGGCCTCGAACAAGTCCATTTCGACAATCTTATTGTACACGTCATATACTACCTGTCTATCTGCACCCATGCCGCAGAAGAAGCCAAATTTTCCGGACATGCCTTCTGGGCCAGCAGAGGGATCGAGAAGGCCAATAACATATTCGCTGAAAAACTCTCGCAATGCGCTGTACTCCTCGGCAAATGTGTCGAAGTATATCGCATCGAAGAGAACTCCTTGCTCGACTAGGCTTGGAGCAATGTCTTGCCATCTCCCTTCATGTATGAAAACGCCCGGCTTCTTGTCCCATCCTTGATCCCTCATGCGTTTAACGACATTTGGATGTGCTTCAATGATGTGATGTGCCTTGGGCTCCTTCTCTTGGAAAATGCTATCAATTATCCCCATTCCATGACCGACATTGAGAACGCGCAGCCTACTCGTGGGAAGTAAGAGCTCTGCAGATCGTCGCATAAGTGTCCTCTCCCACTCCATCATAACACCATTTCCAGCATCATCGACAAGCCGATCTCGGTCAAAAGTCAGATTCGAGGAAAGGTAGTTAGCGCTCTTCGTCGATTCATCGCCCGGATCGGCCATTTGTGTGATATCCAAAACTTCAATTTCTTCCGTGCCTTCTTCAATCTCTTCGTCGTCTTCCTCATCCGAGGCGACGTCCCCAAGTAGCTGATATTCAGCCATGCGGCTCAGCAGCAGCTCAGCGCGCACACCCGCATCAACGCACAGCTCGTACAGTCCTTTTAGACCGAGTCTATTGGCTATGCATCCTGGTGTCTCGCCATTTGCATCCAAATCGTTCCAGATGGCGCCATTTTCGAATAGCAACTTGATTGTCTTGACGGCTGCCTCGATCTGCTGCTGCGCGCTCTTGACCGTCCCATTCGTCTTGCCATTCGAGTGACCATTCAACCTTTTTGTGGCATCATCGTCATCAGGCTCGCAAGCAGCAATCGCAGCGTGAAGAGGCGTGAAACCTGTCTCAGCATCTTGAACATTGGCGGAAGAATTGCGGAGAAGGTTGCTTAGAGCGGCGACGTCATGATTCGCGGCAGCAAGCAGGACGCTCTGTGTTTGTAGGTCTGTCTCGGTATCAAAAGCCGGGTCGTCCATTAGGGAAATTGGTCACCTAAGTCTCACTCATGCCTACACAACAAATTGTTTCGGAGGGGCAAGTGACTAGTGGGGGTTCACAGAATCATTGAGATGCGAGTCGTGCGGACCCTGAATTTCTCTTTATACGAGTCATATAGGTACACCCCCGCGGCTCCACACAGATCGTGGCAGCACCTTCATTTATCAATCTGGTTCGACCATTGATAGTAGGCCTAGACTGAGCAAGAGAGGACCTATCTATCGTTCAACTATACGCAAAACAATCATGATCGAGACCCTATGTCGCTCGAAACGTACAAAAGCCGAGAAGAATACATACAGTCAAATGGATGGCGCTTTACATCTCTATGTGCTGTCTACATGCAGGATGAGCAGCTGAGGCTTGATCGATATGCTAATTGAACTCAAAGGGTCCATCAAATCATTCCTACTGCTTTTTGGGCTTTTCTGTAATCCACCGACATTGTCGAGTTTTGCAAAGCCATCATTAATGCGCGGTCAAACAATTTCTACTGGTGCATGCGTTAAGGATCATCAATATTAGAACTACTACAAGGCAGTAATGGCATGAGAACAAAGGGTAGGGAAGGTTCCAGCGGAGATGGAATACGAAGGCCAATACCCTTGAGCCATAGAACCACCACACTTAGCCGGAACGCCATGATATGCTCAACTAACGACAACGATATACCGTATGCATGCTTTCTCCCGATGGACTAAAATATACAGTCATGAGCTACTCCAATTCAGGCTACGATCAATGGCTTTGGATCCAACCCAACATTTGGCCGAAAGCCTGCGCTTGGGACTGCTTGATCTTTGCATCTTCGTAGTCACCCAGTACTGCAAACCCATGAGGAACGCCGGAGAAGACTTGGATTTCATGCTCGACCTTGTTCATCTCCATGGCTCTCCGCCCAGGCATCAAAACTTCGTCTTCCGAGAACATTGGGTCATCCTTTACAGCGGCGATGTAAACAGGCGATCTGACGGCTTCGAGATCCTCCCTCGTCGTCATGGTCGGGTGTGCGATTGCACCAGCCTTCAACACTGGCGCTTTCTTCAAACTGCCCTGCTCTTCGTCTCCAGGTGCTATTTGACCCCATGCAAGCGTATCTGGAAGGTCGCTGGCGAGTATAAGGATGTACTTTGCGCCAAAACAGTAGCCTATACCATATATGCCTCCTCCATTCGCGACGGCGTCGGCGTACTCCTCTTTGGCAGCCTCGATGACCTTGTGGAGCACGGGTAGGACCTTTTCCGGTGTGTGACGAGCGAGCCACATGTCGATCATGAATGACTTGACGCCCTCTGCAGTCCTTAGCTTGACTGACTCGAGCCAGGAAGCTTCCTTTGAGATCTTGGTCATGTCCACGCTGTTCGGCGCTGGATCATTGTCAAACTGATCCGGCATAACGACCAGATAGCCTTCCGAGGCATACTTGTCGGCTTGTAGCTGATTGTTCGTCGACTTGACACCCGTGCCTCCGCTCAGCAGGAGCAGAAGTTTCGACGGTGAATGTGGGTAGTCGGCAGGCTTCGCGACGTAACACTCGATACCGCCGAGCTTGGTGAGGTTGCCAGTTGGCTTCTCGCCCGAGGGCGTTGGACGGTCGGAGGTGCAATGTTCCTGGCTGGTCAGCATATACTGTACATACGTGGCTCTGCTGCATAGCTGCCGGCCACTTCACCACAAAAGCTCATGTGACTTGATTTATTTCCTGGACCGCTCGACTTACACCCATGCTCGGCCCCTCTTGTGCCCTTGTGTCTCCTGGGAAGATACTCTGCTCAGCGGCCTGTGCAGGCACTGCGGTAGTCGCTTCTCGGACGTCGCTCTCGGGCGCCCTGGTTGCGATATCCTTGTCTGCCATTGCGTCTGTAGATGTGAATGTGTTCTCTGTATTGTGCAGTGAACGCGGACAGTTGCGTGGTGGTAAAGCAAGGGTCCAAAGCCGGTTACATATGCACGCAGGCCCGTGAGTACCACCAGATAATGTACCTCATCCCGCCCACCTAAGCTAGACCGTTGGTGGCCGCGGCGTCCGGGACTGCGGGGTTGAGAGTGCTTCACGTGACAGACGCGTCCATGAAACGCGTCCAACTCCGGGTGGGTTAAACTCTAACACGCCCGCCACCCATCATACACAACGTCAACCTCACCACATCACACAGCTCGTCATGGCAGAGCAGGTAATCACACAGGGTGCAATCAAGTAAGAATACGCTGCGAGGACTCTTTGTACAATAGGTTGATTATGACCAGGAATATATTTGACCCCAATGGCGCGCCTGCAGACCAGCCAATATTGCAATGCGTACAGATCAAGCCGATGGAGCCCAAGGCAGGCGAGCCGAATCCTGTACAGCGCTTTCGGGTGGTATTGAGTGATATTCGCAACTTCATTCAGACCATGATTGCTACCAGTGAGACATTTGACGATAGAGCGATTGTGAACTCGGTAGCTGACATGGAACAGCTGCCAACGATATCGTCACTTCTGGCCAACTCAAAAAGGGCTCCATAGTACGGTTGCTCAAATACAACCCTCAGCGCGTCAAGGACAAGAAGTATGCATCTCGTCAAAATGCGGGGTAGATTGCACTGACAGCCCTACAGCATCCTCATCATCATGGAACTCGAGGTGCTCTCCGAGTACGGCGAACTTGAAAAGATCGGCCAGCCTGAAGCACTGGAGACCAGAGCTGATACCCAACCCGCCGCTATCTCAGGCAACAACTTTTACGGAAACAAGCCTGCACCTGCAGCACAAGCTCCGCAGAGGTCGCTTCCAGTCCACCAGAGCAACCCTGGCACATCCTCGCACCCGCACCTGTATCCTATCGAGTCTCTCTCGCCGTATGCACACAAGTGGACGATTCGTGCACGATGCACTAGCAAGAGCGACATGAAGGAATGGCACAATGCCAAAGGGTCAGGCAAGCTCTTCAGTGTCAATCTGCTAGATGACACCGGCGAGATCAGAGCTACAGCTTTCACCGAAGTTGCTGATAAGCTGTTCCCCGTCTTTGAGGAGGGTGTGGTCTACTATATCTCTGCGCCGTGCAGGGTCACTCTGGCGAAGAAGAATTTTTCGAACTTACCCAATGACTACGAGCTCCAGTTCGAACGCGATACCGAAGTAGAGAAGGCAGAAGACCAGGAGAACAAGCCACAAATACGGTTCAACTTCACCAAGATCGGCGATCTCGATTCTGTCGAGAAGGACTCAACGATCGATACGATCGGAGTGCTCAAGGAGGTCGGCGAAGTGGCTACCATAACATCGAAGAACACCAACAAGGACTTCAGCAAACGGGAGTTGACCTTGGCGGATGACAGTCAGACATCAGTGCGACTCACCATTTGGGGTAAGACGGCAGAGAGCTTTGAAGCTCCACTGGAGTCGATTCTTGCATTCAAGGGCGTCAAGGTGTCTGATTTTGGCGGACGCAGTCTAAGTCTTTTGAGTTCAGGCTCGATGATGGTCGACCCGGACATTGATGAAGCCCACAAACTACGTGGATGGTTCAACGCTGTTGGCCAGAACGCCACATTCTCGACGCACAATAACTTGGCCTCTAGCTCGGGTGGATCTAAGAACGAGAGCAAGCTCATCTCCCAAATCATGGAAGAGGAGAGCTATCTGCAGGACACACCTACCTACTTGAGTTTAAGGGCGTCAGTTGTCTATGTGAAGAACACGACCGTAGCATATCCTGCTTGCTCGACACCGGGTTGCAACAAGAAAGTTATTGAAGAGAATCCCGGGGCCTGGTGGTGTGAAAAGTGCCAGAAGACCTACCCGGAGCCGCTGTATCGGTACGTGCTGAGCGTCAATGTTGCAGACCACACTGGCACGCTGTGGCTGAGTTGTTTTGATGAGGCTGGACAGACTATTGTCGGTATGTCAGCAAATGAAGCGATGAAGATGAAGACAGACGATGAGGACAATGGCACTCAAAACTTCTTGACCGCTATGCAAGAAGCTACGTGCAAGACATTCAACTTCAGGGTCCGTGGCAAGATGGAGACATATCAGGATCAGCCCAAGTCAGTTTTTCGAACTATTCTGACATGGAGTTACAAACGCTGACAAAATCTAGGCCTCGGTACCAGGTTCTAAACCTGTATCCCTTAAACTACGCTCAGGAAGCCAACAAGCTGGCCCAACTCATCAAGCAATACGACTTGAATGAGGACAGCTTGTTTGTCAACTAGTCGGTTGTGTACATGCGTAGACACTGGTAAGGGGTATCGGTTTATGTAGAGCGCAGTTATGATTTCTGGAGAGAACTTTACTCTAGGATAGCTTTACTTGCACCAGTCGCGTCTGTTTCTCAATGTACGCATTGGCGTTTCGACTCCCCCGCTCTACTTGCGCTTTTGACCGAGGCTATCAGGGTACCCCACCAGACGTCATCATCAAGCATTCTAAAGCTGTCAGAATTGTTTCGAAAGAAGCAGTTCAACATCGCGTACCTCTTGACCTCTGGAAATTCTTGCTCACTTTGCGGAACCAGTCCGAGAGCCCTTTTGAGAAACTTCCTCAGGCCAAACAGACTTTGATTTGTCTCCTGCATAGTTCAGATAAGGATAAAAAATTGTAGCAATATGAGCGACAAAATGCGCGCAGTAGGTCTGTCGTCATGCCTGTGACCTAAGCAGACCGTATGACTAACAGCCCATAGACATTAAGAATGGTAAAGGCTCAGTCGATGCCCTCCACATTGCTGAAGTGCCCAAGCCCAGACTCGGCAAGTCTCAAGCACTCGTGAAGATCAAGGCGTTCGGTCTGAACCGTATGGACCTTCTACAACGTGAAGGCATGTACCCTATACCGCCAGATGTCTCCAAGATTCTGGGCGTGGAGTTTTCTGGCATCATCTCCGAGTTGAGCGAGGAAGGCGGAGGACAGGAAGGGTTCAAAATAGGCGACGCAGTTTTTGGTCTTGCATATGGGGGAGCGTATGCAGAGTACATCGCCGTTAGCACACACATGCTTATTCGCAAACCAAAAGAGTTGAGCTGGGAGCAATGCGCGGGAATCCCCGAAGTGCGTTCCATCCAACCCACCCGTAATCTCAGAGCTTCTGCTGACTCTCACGCGGACGTGGATAACTGCTACTCAAGCAATGTATCTTGTCGGTGGTTTCGCAGCTGGTAGATCCATCCTATGGCATGCCGCCGCCTCCTCCGTCTCGATCTCGGGAATTCAACTTTCGCTTGCCGACTCTGCGTCTGCCGTTTTCGCAACGGCCCGGCAAGATTCAAAATGCTCCTTCGCTGTCAAAGAACTGGGCGCAAAAGCCGCCTTCAATACAACAACCCAGAACTGGGTTGAAGAAGTCATGAAAGCAACGAACAACAAGGGTGTAGATATTATTGTTGACTTCGTTGGTGCAAGCTATTTCCAGCAAAACCTCGATGCTGTTGCGAAGGATGGTGTCATTGTGAACCTGGGATTTATGGGTGGTACAAAGCTTCCAGAAGGAACAGATATTAGCGCGTTTATCCGCAAGCGATGCACATTTGTTGGGAGCAGTTTGAGGAGCAGAGATGAGGAGTATCAGGGTTGGCTTAGAGATCACTTGGTGGAACACGCACTGCCCAAATTCATAAATGGGAGCTTCAAGCTGTTCGTGGAGAGAGTATTGCCGTGGGAGCAGATCCAGGATGCACATCGGTTGCTAGAGGAGAACAAAACTAAAGGTAAGGTCATCTGCACAATATCATAGTCAGTTAAATAGCAAAACACAAGACTTTAGGTCTCTTTGTCGTATACATTAAAGCTATTAGCTACTATTACGTAATGACGATTTGTGTTTACTGTAGACCACAGGAAGTTTCCACGCAAAAATAAAAGTCACGCCAGTAGAGTACTTCTTCAACGTCAAACATTGGAGCGACAAAAAAAGAATCGACGTTGGCCAGATTCGAACTGACGCTCCCGAAGGAACAAGATTTCTAGTCTTGCGCGATAACCACTCCGCCACAACGCCTTGATGAAGATTTTCACAATTATATGCATAATATCAGAAAATCTAAGGAAGCTTGGCTGCATGCCACCTCCCTTGACGGATTATCGACGGGTTCAAGCAGCTAATCTACTATGTAGCTGTAATGCCAGATTTTTCTAGTCAGAGTTTAAATCCACAAGGTCCTATTCTTGGAGGATCAACAGATCAAAGCTTGGTTATGGGCAGCTTAGAGTACTAGTAGCGCATCTGAATACAATATGAACACGAGATCCCCACGCAGTATCTTGGTGCAGCCCGTGTATTGTGGTTCGCGAATTGAATAGCCAGGTTCGTGATTTGAAAGATTAATAACTATTTTTTTCGTGATTTCCCTACGTAAAATACATTTTGAAAAGGCAGTTAATTGTAGTTGCTTAGATTACGTTCTTTTCCTAAATCTAATTTTATCTCCTTAGGAAGCCTCAACTGCTCGTAGTGTCTACCTAACTTAATGCAGCATAACTCTATAACCACATGCTACTCTTCTACTCATGCTCTAAAGTTCTGCTGCCTACGATTCTCTCTCTAGAACATTTGCTCGAAAATTAATATTAGGCCATAGATTGGTCGAGTTTCTGAAATTCAATCAGCCGGTCCCAGTCATTGCTAACATGAATTGGATAGCGATTGAGCAGATCCATCCATCTTTGATCCATGCCGTAGGGTTACCAGCGACCACTCCGACTAACTTCAAGATTTTTTTCCCCTCAGGCTTGTTAACTAGGCAATTCAATCGTGGAACCTAGCAGTAAGAGTTCTTCTCTTGTGCGCATCCACAGCCATCCCTCCAACTAATTACCTTTTTCCCATGCCCATAACCTTTGTGCCTAGTCTAAGCGCAGGATTAGTATACCTTGAGCGGCGAATGTAGACCATGCAGGACCGTATGCGGATGTGTATCTTGTGATTCTAGGTTGTGGTAGACTCGGATGGATTCTTCTTTATCAGAAATTGAATGTTGTTTTAGCAGCTTAGAAAGGATTGTTTTATAAATAGGATTAGTGAGATCTTGCTTGTCCCTAACTAGTATATGCCTAAAAGGAGCTTTACAACAAGTCTCTAGCGAGTCGACGATATTTGTTATAAACATAAGTCTTAAGCTTTGTGAAAGCAAATAATTTATCATCGTACGCGAGCAATCGAAGGTCGCCCGCCATAGGGTAGTCGCTAAAGTAGAAGGATTGGCCCAACAGTGTTCTTTCTGTATCATCTATAGCACCTGCTTGCACCCACAGTGGTAACTACCATACCACCACTACCAATACTCCTATTCTAGGTTAACTAGGATACATTCTAATAGGGACTAGTAGGGTAGGTAGATACGGAAAATTTTAGGTGCATCCTCTATTTTTTCTTTAATTGATACTTTTCTTGCATCAAATAGCTCCCAGCCACCTGCACCAAAATCCAGATCTTGAAGTTTGATCCATTTCATGGATCACCAGATGATTTTCTCCCCAATAGCGGTAGTGCAGGGGAAACCAAGTTGTCAAATCACATTGAAGACCGGCTCAGATACTCCGCCAGTGTTACTGACTGAGAGCACGAAAGAATATGCTGAAGCTCGAGCCTAGCGGAAAATCCAACATTTAATCTTGCGGCTGCGGTAGTTCTCGTTTAATGATGTAGGGCAACATATTGACAGCCATTGATGGTTTGGTCGTAACGCCAAAGCTCCCTATTCGCGACTAAGGATAGGATAAGGAGCATCCCATGATCATGATCTAAGGCTACAGCTCTCTGCTTCAGACTAAAAAAAATTCAATCAAATGATTTGGGTATCGAAAGATGGCAAAATTTCCATTCACTTCGGTTAAACATATAAGCCTCAATATAGCCATCCCCTTTCCTAAGTTTCACTCTGTCCCAATCATCATCACCCCCTCCCCAGCCACAAATCTTTATTGTAGATTTGCTGCATCGAGATCATCAATTTTTTGATAGAAATTAGAGCCTCTTCCTTTTCCACATTTTTTTGACAAGACATCCTTAACCAGGTGTTCTGGTGTATAGTATGGATGCATAGGATGTGGCAGTATATTAAGTTTCAGTATATTTGTCTCTTGTAAATCAATCTTTCCGCTGGTATTAATGCCAACAGCGGAACGATTTTCACTGGTGTTATAATTAGATTCGGCGGCCATCTGATCGATGAGGTATTTTAGACACTGGAGAAAGACAATAATTGACATAAAAGCTGATCCGAGACAGAATGGAGCTATCTTTAATGGTCCAGGGAAGATAAATCTCCGATAATGGAGCGATTCAGGACGTCGAGGAAGTCATGACATTAAGGAAGCCACAATGTTCAAGAGGTTTTGAGCAGTGTGAAGTGTTTATTCGCAGCTTTCAATAACAATTAAAGGCCCTTTAACTGTTTTAAGTACTATCGGGCCCCTATCAGAGTCCATCAAGTCTAGTAATTGTTCCATGTGTCCGATGTTTAGTGCATTAGTGCTTAGCTAGGTACTGGTCCTTCGCCTGAATCGTATACATCTTCCTTAGATGAAGCGTATTGAGAACTAGCAGTGACTAGGGATATACAGTATGTAAAATAGATAAAATGAAAGAGGAGTGAGATAATGTGAGAGAAAAAGTGTCGAAGTGACCAAAAGTAACGTCACGAACATTGCTGTCAGTACTGAGGCTATATCGAGATGATAGGTATCTAGATGATCAGTTGCGTGCAGTTTCTAGACCACAACATTAAAGACATAAAAATCACTTCCTGGGCACGATAAGATGATATTCCGGCATGATTTTCGCTCTCTCACCTGTAATTTTACACATATTAGGGTTGCTATATAACCAACGATCATATTATCATCAATGGGCTTGCCCTTGACTATACAGTTACCAATCTAACCATTATCACCTTCTACTGTTTCGGCAGCTCTAAAGACCGAAAGGAAATTTCTTCGTCGGGCCTCCGTCATACGCTACAACTTCTTCGTCTTCTTAGCAGTTATGTCGCTCGCTACATGTCTCCCCCTGATCAAGAATGATGGTACCATCCTACTTATTGACGACAAACCTCCACTTCATCAACTTCACCATAGCCATTCTGCATACATAGGCACATAAGAACAGCATAAAGACGCGAGAAGTCTTGTGCACTCAGTTCAAACTCCAAGCCTGCATAGACACAGCTATTCCAATAGACTTATGCAGCCCCATACACAAGAACGGGATTTCGCTTTGGATGGAAGTAATAATCTATCCCATTCGCATGAAAATTCTCTGACAGGCCGCAGATCGACATACCTCACAGGAACACTTGGGAGGCATCACAGTTAAAACACAAAACTGTGATTGGCCGTTGAGTGTTTGCTACAGAATAAAGAATTGGTGAGAAAATATCACACAGAGCTCATGTTAACTATCATTCATTCACTGACGGCTTCGAAGATTCCTTGGGGAATCTCCTCGACGACATGTGTGTAGTCAATGAACCAGTCCACAGGTATATGAAAACTGACTTGTTTTGTTGCGGTCTAGTCAACGGACATCGACATGGCCAGCTGAACTATGAAGTTCCTTATGGCTGCTTCTTCTTTGAGTAAGTTGATGCTACAAAGATTAGAAGAATAGCACGAATGGATACTTATTAGGAAGAATAACTGCAAGATCTCACAGGGCAAGCTAGCCATCTGGCGCACGTATGGACACGATCGTTTTGCGACACTTGGGTGGGGCGTAAGTTTTGAACAACGCGGCTTCATTTCTGACACTGACTATGCGATCCAGAAGAGGATTCACAGGCATGAATGCTATGCCCGCTAAGGCGGCCTGCTGGACACATCCCATGAAGAAATAATAGGGAGAATGACAGAAAGAAGACAGTAAACGACCATATATAATTGGGTCCGATGTGAGAGAAACAAATTCGACCTTAGCCGCTTTCAGATGCCATAGACTACATCCACTTGTGTCGCCATGATCCGGAAAGCTCTCACGCCTTTCACACTTTCTCAATCCCCAATACGATTTGCAAGATATTTGAGATGTTAACACGATATCCCATGCGGGTATGATATCATCCTCCGATCCCTGATTGTCAGGACGAATATCATTGAGCAAGCTTCCTCCGCCTTATACATGGCAGCTCAAAGTTCGTGAAAAGCCTCTCTTCCCCCTACGTCCAGCTCCCCCTTTCCATCAGTGTTGTATCTATCACTCTGTAGCCTTGTAACCCATGGCGGTTCCCCATCATCGTCAAATTCTGCCCACTGAAAGAAACCACACCCGTCGTTCCCCGGAACGTAGTGAGTGTGACACATCCACATATATCTCCCTCTGCACTCCTTCTTTCTCGTCGCGCACCTCAACACGGTTGGCATACCACATTGGCATCTGGGCGTAAATTTGGGATGCAGAATTTCCTTGTAATAGCGATATGTTATGTTTATCCGTTTGATCTTGGCTAAAGGGTGAGGGTCAATGGCCTGTGCAGGGGCGATAGAATGTTTCCACTCTTCCTGCATCTCGGCGTGCATGATAAGGAGCGAGTTGTGAGGAAGTTGTATTGAGATCTGACCTTGGGCGTCGGCGAGGGACTCGTTGAGTTTGGCGGTATCGTCTTTTGCAATAATCTTACGTACGCGGAACTCTCGCGTTACGCCGAGACTCAAACTACCAATTACCGCTCGTGGGCCCAGATACGTGAGTTGATCGGAGTGATAGCCTACGTTTTCCTTGGGGCCGTCGTAACAGTTTACGAAAGCGGTATTAGCGCGCCAGGGGTGAGGGGACTGGTATTTCAGCTTTTGTGCTTTGGGATAAAAGTTTGAAATGCGGCGCTGGATTTCCCGGTTCACCGCTGATTCAACTTGGGGACAAGCTTTGAGTAGTTCTTGTGTACTTTGACGTACGTTCTATGAAAATTTAGTACATAAATATGAGTTCAGAAATGTGAGTGGAGAGTACTTCTTCTTGCCGTCCATTGTACATGTACTCGGTTTTCTGCTTTTCCGCTTCAGCCAGGCTGTTGACATAAACTGAATGACGTGGCCAAATCCGCATTAGTCCCAATGCTCAAAGATGAGTAGCTGTTTTGGTGGCTGAATTGAATAGACCAGCTAATTTGAGACAGGGTCGACTCACTGTTGGAGGGTTAGTAAATCAACTTGGAAGCGATCATAATAAGGACACCATACCAGCAGTATGTATGCGGCGTCCAAACGACTCGACCAAAAAGCTTGAACTCCTGACGCTGATATGAAGGCGCTTCTTCTAACAATTCTGATAGTAGAGCATCGGCCTGTTTTGCCGGCAGGAAATTATGAATAATGGAGCATGGCGTGTTGTTCTCGATGTCTTCTGGACTGTACAAATATAAAGTCCGGCCTTTTTTAACCAAAGACTTGCTGGAGATCGTGTTACCATCCTTGGGTAGTATTCCATATGCGCTCAAGGACGATTGGTAGCCAACTGTAAAGGATGTGAGACGTTTTTTACTAGAAGACGAAGGGGTATGGGCTAGATGTGTAGAGGCAGCTTCTACTGAGCCATCAGAGCATAGTAAAGCCTCCAGCAAAGTAGTCTTGTGTACTGATGGGTGCAAGGAAGCAAGCAGGGCCAATTTGAAATCAGTAGATTCATCGTCTTGGTCGTTGACATTTGAGGATGACGCGTTGGTTGATGTCGCCACCTGCTTTGGTGGTTCGGTTGCCCACTTTCTCTTCCGTGACACAAACGCGTGCATGACAGGTTTTTGAAGAGAGATAGCGTCTGGATTAAAAGTGTAAATTCGGGATGAGTGTTGAGAGGGTTCAGCTGCAACACGATATTACACGAGAGAGGTTGCAACGCGATATCACGTGCCATGGAACACCCCGCCACAACCGCCACGGCCATGCATCCAGCCTCGGTCATGCACACCCACGGTTCCCGCGAGTATGCCGCAACACTTCAGTATTGTACAAGCAATGACGCCGTTTACGTCTACACCACACTCACTCGACGCACCGTAGCATCCTCCCCCCTTGGTGCCTTGAAGAGCGCCTGTAGTATTCCGCCATGATGGAGTTCCGGACACAAGGCTACAACGGCTACAGCGTCAAGTATTCGCCCTTTTTTGATTCGCGCATCGCCGTTGCAACATCTGCGAATTTCGGGCTCGTAGGCAATGGAAGGCTGTACATATTAGGACTCACGGCGAATGGTATCGTGGCCGAGAAATGGTATGTCATATCATGTCCACTCTACCATACCAACACCGACATACACTTCACTGTCACATGCCCCTTGGGAGCCGTGCAACTTTACTGACTTTACCGCCCAATGAATTAGGTTTGACACACAAGACTCCCTTTTTGATACCTCCTGGTCCGAGGCTCACGAATCCCAACTGCTTACCGCTGGCGGCGACGGCTCTGTCAAGCTCTTCGACATCAACGTGCCCCAATTCCCTATTCAGTCCTGGCAAGAGCATGCCCGTGAGGTCTTTGCTGTGCACTGGAATCTCGTTGCCAAAGACACCTTTCTCAGCAGCTCCTGGGATGGCACAATCAAGGTCTGGAATCCCAACGCGAGTGCGAGTCTGACGACGCTGCCCACACATTCTTGCACCTATTCGGCAGCGTTTAGCCCGCACAGTCCGAGTATACTGAGCAGCGTGAGCTCGGATAGCCATCTGAGGGTTTTTGATCTGAGGACTCCGGCCAGTGCAAGCAATCACTTGACACTGAGTGTGCCGATTCACACCCCCCCGAAACCGAGGATGGGTGCTGCGGCGACCGTCGGGATTGCGCCAGCTGAAGCATTGACACATGATTGGAACAAATACCGCGACTCGATTGTTGCGACAGCGGGTGTGGATCGCCTAATTCGGACATTCGACATCCGCATGCCAGGGACGGGTCCCATTGCCGTGCTGCCAGGCCATGAGTATGCTGTACGCAGGATAACGTGGTCACCGCATCTTTCAGATATCTTGCTGAGTGCCAGTTACGACATGACATGTCGTGTGTGGACTGATGGCAGTGCCATGGGCCATGGATCTTTGAAGCAGGAGAATATGCTGGAAGATCCCATGTTTTACGGCGGCGGCCGGGAAATGGGCAGGATGGGCCGACATACGGAGTTTGTGACGGGCGTGGATTGGTGTTTGTTTGGTGCCGAGGGCTGGTGTGCGAGTACAGGCTGGGATGAGAAGATCATGGTGTGGGATTGTAGAGCTACTATGCAATGACAAGGTGGAACTTGATAGCGCCTGACAGATAGCAGGCTTCCACCTGATATCCAATGCTGTTTCGTAGCAAGTCTCTTAGATGCATGATACTTACATACAATCGAGCAGTAACACCGCACGCCGTTCCTGCGCGAAGACCTGCTATGCGATACAACTATGAGAAGAGTGCCGACCAATTGAACTCGAAGCCGAGTCTCTCGAAAAGATGGGGGGTATCATCCCAAATGAACATCATACACCGTGAACACCGCATGCAAACCAATGCGCCCTTGATACGCGTCAGACGCAGCCAAACCCACAACCCACACTCTCCGTCTTTCTCTTGGTCATCCTCATAGATCCCCAAGACTCAGAATATCATCAAGCGCGCCATCCAACTCTGCAACATCCTGCACGCTACCCCCCTGCCATTGCACGCCCATCTCGTCGTCTAATTGCATAGGATCTCCATCTCCTAAGTCTACCGTCCACATCTCCCCGCCAAGTCCATATGCACTTCCATTCGCCTTGGCGTGGACCCCATTGGTAAGTAGTCCAGCACCATTGACGTGCGATTTAGCCTCGTAGATGTCATAGCCATCCTCCACACCCGGCGTATCCAGACACCGCGAGTTCCAAATACTCCCTGCTAAGAAGGGCGTCTGGCCCAGATACGAATCACCCAGCTGCAACGCTAGCCTCAGATCTTCGGTACACAGCATACGTCGCCGTCGCCTCTCCTCGGCTTCAACAGGTAATTCACCGCCTGCACCCCGTACCAGTTCTCCACGCTCCACCATGCGCTCTTCGCGCTCGACTTTCTTCTTGAATTCGCCTGTCCTTATGTAGCCCGGGCCGTTGGAGCAGACTTTACCTAACAGGGCGGTGAGAGCCTCTTTGATGTATGTTTCCGTGGCGATGTTGAGGTATTCGGGACAGTCGGACGTATGGCCTTGCGGGAGACCAAACTCGTAGCAGATGGGGAGAAGGCGATGGGATATCGAAGTGGCCGTGGGGAACTCGTGGGTTTCAATAGAAAGGGCCGACGTGTAGCGTTTGCGGATTTCAAGCTCCCAGTCTTGTTGTTCAAGTCAGATTTACAAGTCGCTCTGGTGGATAGAAAGGAATGATGGAAGGGAGGAGGTAGGAGAGGGACGTACTCGTTTTCCCAAAGCCGCCGCCTTGTATACTACTTGGTCCCACGTCGAGCTGTTTAGCCCGTCTAGCATCCACATAGTCTTGCACAGGCCCCGTTGCACTCATGCTCCCTGGCACTGCTCCCTCAGTTGCGACTCCAGCCCCAGATTCACTAGCCGGTATCGTCTTGAGTCGTTTTCGTTCGCGCCGACTCAACTGCATGACCTCGTACTTGAGCCGCTTCTCGCTCTCGTCGCCCGTGCCCTTGACCGTCCCACTCGTCGGCTTATCGCTGCTAGACACCCAGCTCGCAATCCCTGCCTCGGGCGCATCTCGCCATATGTTGGAGTAGACAGCGCTTAGCAGGGTGTTATGTGCGTGCTCGAGTGCAGGCGTAGTGAGAATGCGTGAGAGCTTCAAGTGCAGCTCCTCCTGGTTCAAGTTTCCGAGCAGAAAGTAGGCCAGGGCCTTTTTGTACACAACCCAGTCAGCATCGCTGATTGCGCTCTTGACTGCAGCGTAGAGGGGCTCGACGTTGATGCGCGGCGTGCGCGGGGCCGCCGCCTTCTTCACCACGTCCGTCTGGAGGCCTGCGAAGCCAGTCGCCAGGGTACTCGTGGATGAAGTGGTAGGTGTGGTCGACACGGTCATGTCGTTTGGCCGCATTGTGCCTGCCATGGCCGTCACCCTCGATTCGATTGAATTAGGTAGAGATAAATGTTGTGACTATTGCAACTGTACTTCTTGTTGTTATCGTCGTCGTTGTTGTCGACGCGTCGACTGCACAGCGCTGCCAAGAGTCAGCAAGCTCCGCAAAGGCTCCCGCCGACGCTGCTGGAGGCTACCTACCTACCTACGGAGATGCGCCGGGCAATGCGCGAGGCAGGCGGTGATGGGATCCGTGGGGGCGCAGTCACCAGTCGCCTCTGTATGTCGTGGTTGTGGCCCTGTTGCCTTGGTGCTCTCTCTTCCTCTCACTCCATACCGGTAGCCCGTGCGTACTACCGGCCGACCAGACCTCACCGATACACCCCCACAACATCAAGATGAATCAAACAATGCTTGCTATCTCCCTCGATGCTCCCACCGGTAGATTCTGCATCAGCTATCTTTTTACAAAACGCCCCGTGCAATGCTGTACAATAAATTTGGAAGATATGCTTGCACTTTTTGGACATGCGTCATTCCCTTCCCCTCCACCAGTGCACACCCTCGTATCTTTGCCTCTCTAGCTATCTGCAAACACATCTCCAAGCTCCACCTTACCCACGCTCCAAATCTCGCGCTCATCCTCCATCTCATCGCTCGACAGACCTAGACCACCAGCACCTCCTTCCGCCTCCTTTCTCTCCCTAGCCTGTCCAGCTAGTCTTGTAGCAACCCGCTTGAAATAGTCAGCCATGCTACGCTGCTGGCCTCCTGACAGTTTCTTCCCCTCCCCGGCCATGTACTTGTCAAATACTGCACTCTCTTCATCCACCACAGAGAATATCGCCAGGAAAGCTGCTTCGGCTGATAGCTTCACTGGAATCACTGCATCGCGGACCGATGCGAAGACCGGCGGCGTAATGAGATCAATGTGTGGCCGGATAAGCTCATTGCGTTCACGCGCAACGGTTCGGAGTACGACCAGGCCCAAGCGTCTGGTATCGACGGCGTGCCCAGGGCCGACAACCGCTGCAAGCGCTTCGAACAATGGTTTGGTGTGCTCAAAATTGGTGTTGCTCTTCTTCCCCAGAAGGTACTTGCCAGCTGCAAGCACAGCATTGTCTGCAATCGAGGGTTGCGCATGTGGAATGCCGTGGCAGATGACATGCACCGTTTCTTCGGCAAACCGTCCTGTCAGAGCTTCTGGCGCGTCTAACAAGATCGCGTTCAGAGCTAGCACAGAGGCTTTATTGTAGTGAGTTGTGAGCACACGAGACTTGATAAGACCCGAAGCCATCTCCTCGGGCAGACAGCTTATGAGTGCACCGAGAAGACGAGCGTTCGTTATCGCCATAGCGTCTGCACAGAGGTTAGACGAATTTGAGCACCCACCAGGCTGATGGAGCAGCTTACCATTGGAGTCATCGCTATCGGTATCGATGAGACCCAATATTGTGTTCCTGCTGGCTTCATTCATGTTCTTGCCCGCTTTGCTCACCACCTCAAACAAGGCTTTCAACATAGCAGTCTTTACAGCCTCATCAGCAGTCTTGGATCCAGTGACGAGTTCTGCAATGAGTGGATCCACCCTAGGAGTGAGTTTAATCAATGTGCCGAGCGCCTTCGCTGCCCGGGCTCGCAGCACGTCAGACGAAGTATCAGCAAGAGCCTTGGCAAACGTGCGTTGGAGTTGAGGTAGGAAAGGTTTGAGGAAGGCCGGTATCTTCTCCAGGAGGTTGTTGAGTGTGAGAAGGATGGCTGCTTTCACTTCTGTCGAACGCTCCGTAACTACACGAATCAACGGCCCAGTAATTTGCGTAACGAAAGGCTGAAGTGCTTTCGCACTAGTACGGTCGATGATGTCTGAAATAGCCAGCGCAGCTTGTGTACGTTGCTCTACAGTGCCGTTCATCAGGCCCTGCAAGAATATGGGTAGGATAGCGTTGATTCCCTTCGGTAGCGAGAAACCAGGAAGGTCGGCGCCGGCAACACCAACTTGACTGAGTGTCTGACGTGTAGAGATGACGAGAGACTCCATCTCCTCTTTTCGCAGACGCTTTGTCGTGAGTGTACTAAGCGCAGTCCAAGCTGCCTTGACCACCTCTATGTCGCTGTCATCGAATGATACGAGGAGCGCGCGGATGAGATCAGGGTAGTATCTCGAGAAGTCGACCTCTGAATCTGCAAAGAATCTGGCTAGGTGCATGTCAGCACGTGCTCGTCTCCGTTCGTCATCGTGCTTTGAAAGCGCAAGCATCACGCTCATGGCTGTGTTGAGCCCATCGTATTCGTCTACAGATAGCAGGACCTTGTCAAACGATGATTCAAACTCAGCCTTTAAGGCTTCATCCTTGATAGTGATGGCATTATCCATGATGGTATTGAGGATGTTCGGTAACCTTCGAGTCATGGCAGAGCTGGCGACTTCAGCAAGCGAAGCAATGGCCCGGGCATTGAAGGCGGACATAGGTGATGTGAGGAGTGTTGGCAGGAGGTTGGGCAAGATGATGTTGGACCGTGCCTGATCGGTAAGTAAGGTGAGGAGTGCAGAAAGCGCATTCTGTGCATCATCCTCACCACGAAGTAGATTGAGCAAGTATGGTAGAACTTGGTCGACTGCACGCTTGCCGAGAATCTGCTGGAGCGCATCAAACGCTTCGGCTGCTGCTTCGCGCACGTCTACATTTGGATCGACAAGCGCCGTTCTTACCACCTGAATCAAAGTTTTCTCGTAATCTTCGATCTGCTCAGGGGAAGCAGAAGCAATGAGTTCGCGAAGCGCAATGCAGATACCTTGCTTTGCGTCTGTGTCTGTAGTGTGTAGGCCCTCTTCCAAAGTTGGAAGAAGCGTGGCGAGCACACCATCTCCAGCCTTTCGAATGAGCTCGCCCAGTGCGTTGCCAGCAATGACTTTTTGTTCCATGTTTGAGCTTGCTAGGCGGCGGATAATGAGCTGCGTAAGCGTAGGAACAAGCTCCCGCAAAGTGCGCGGCGTTGCGACCAGAGCCTTCCATACATTGATGGATGCAGTACGGACAAGACCTGATGTATCGCATCTGCAAATGTAGAGCGCTGATAAGACTTTGTTCCGCTTATCTTCTCCAAGGACTTCCAGTAACGACTGTCCAGCCTCCTTGGCGCCCTCTTCAACCTCGTCTTCCTCAACTTTTCCGCTGATGCCTGTGAGATTAAAGAGCAAGTCTCCGACAAGCTCCACAGAGCTGAGACGGATGCGATGACTATCATCTGCAAGGCCCCGTTCAAGCTCCGGCAACAAGAGATCAATAGCTTTTGTGGCGAAATTCTTCACCAAGAGACGACCAGCGCGTAGAGCCGTCTCCCGAATGGACTCAACGTCGTCTGCAAGTCCACCAAGAATCGGTGGTATAATCTTGCTGAGATAATTCGCGAAGGAGTTTCCAAAACAAGCGGGCAAGAAGATAAACAGTGACATGAACCCCTCGCGCACCGAGGCCTTGTTGCTGGCCACATTTTGCAGTATGCTGGGTAAGGTCTCCTCCAGGCGTCCGGTGCCGAGACCTGCAAGAACCTCAGAGAGTGCCTGTGCCGAACCAAGTCGATCGCCTGCTCCGGTATCTGATTTGAGAGTAGCCATGAGACTTGGAATGAGATCTGGAAGTGCATCTTCTCCAAGCTTCTCCATGAGGGAACCAAGAGCTTTGGATGCCGTGGCACGGGTCGTAGGAACTGGGTCCACAATGGCAACGCGTAGACCGGCAACGAGGATAGGTAAATGCGATGTGAGGTCCTTCCGTTCAGTGAGATAAGCCAAACTTCCAATGATTTGGGACGCTTTTCGCTTTGTCCCCGACCGGTCGCCTAGACCACGTTCTAAAATACGGACCACTAGAGCAAGCGACGGAGCATCTAAGAAATGTGCGAACTGGATCTTAATCAGCGCATCGAGCGCATCATCAGTATGTTTCGTGGGATCGCTTAAAGCCTTCAAAATTATGTTGACAACACTCTTGATCTCCGGGTTACTGATGACCTCACCAAAGCGTTGCAGACTTCGGTTTGCTGATGATCGTACCTCTTTGTGACTATCAGTCAGGACTGTTGTGAGAGGTGGAATGATGTCAGGCAGGCTGAGGGCCAGCTGGTTCGCATCAAGATAGGCCATGGCGCCCAAGGAGTCGCAGGCGCCCTTTTTGCTACGCCACTGCTGGTCATCAAGGCCTTCAAGGAGTATCGGCAGGACTTGTTTGACACCAAAAGAACTTAACGTTGAGAAACAAGTCTTGGCAGCGTCGAGGCAGGCTTCTCTTACATCCCCGCTAGTGTCGCCAAAGCCTGTGAGCAATTGTGGCACAAGTTGAATGACGTAAGGCTCGAATAGACGTCCTAGGATGAGAGAGAAGAGTTCATACGCTAGATATACACCCTGCCTCTGGTTCGCGTCTTTCTTGTTCTCACTAGCGCCCTTGAGTGTGCTCATGATCCGATACTCTTTGAGTACGCCGAGGCCCTTGCCGCGCACGATACCGGCAAGACCGTATGCTGCTCCACGACGTGCGGCATACTTTTTGGAATGAAGCAACTGATCCATCATTTGATTGACGTATGTGGGCAGCTCCTGTTCAGATGTTCGGACCAGGGGAGGTAGACACTGTGCGACGGCATACTGTACCGTTTCTGATGGTGTGCTGAGAGTTGCCAGCAGCCTTTGAACAATCTTGGGAACTCGCGGATCCCCGGCACTGAGATGGCGTCCCAAGGCACCGTAGAGGATGATCACGGCTTCATTGACCTGGTCATATAGTTCCGACTTGCGATCAGGCCCTTCCAGAGCATTCTCAAAAAGTTCCATCAGCGTTTCTACCTTGGACTGCGCCTTGGAAGTAATGACAGAAGTGGCCGCCTCAATCATTTCGTCTCGTACTGCAGCACTTCGGTCGCCTAAGGGTCCCTGGTAGACTAAAAAGTTCAAGAAGTCAGTAAGGTGATCGGGTGTAAATCCAACTGTCATTTCTTTATACGCGAGTGCAATTCCATCTCTGCTTTCCCATGGGTCTCGGAGGTCGATTTTGCGTGGCATTCCATATTCGTCGCGCTCCGGAACTCGTGGTTTTGCCATTTCTTTGTAAGAGTCTTGAAGACGTCGGAGAAGATCATCAAATGTCTCGGGAAACTTGGTAATGATTTCACCAAGTGACCGGGCGGCCGCTCTTCTAAGTTGCTTGTCGAGGGAATCAAGGTAAGGAAGCATCTGTACACCGGCACTTGGTTCGAGCTTCAGATTGTTCTCTTCCCAGATCGTCCTTGCAATATCTGCATTTTCAGGTACGTCGTCGTGACAGGCGATCCAAATCTCTTCACTAAAGTCCATATCATTCAGGTCTAGTTCGGCGTCTATGGCCTGTAAAGTCGCTGTTCGAACACCAGTTTCTGGTACGATTGTTCCGCGGAGCAATGCGCCCAATTCTTCATTTGTGATGTTGGGAGCCAGACCGCTGGCGAGATTTGTGAGACAGTCTTTGATCAGCTTATAATGTTGCTGGTATCTTTGCATGGACCACACTAGTATTTCAAGCAGGTTCCTGCGTTGCAACCGCTCATCGAGACCTATCGCACGTTCGTCAATAAAAAATCTACCCGCTCTGATGCGTATACGTACAAGAGTTGGTGTGGAATGCCAAAACCTCAATAGCGAGAATGAGCTGTTCATCAGCTTCTTCAGGGGATGCTCGCCCGATGCCACCTTTCTCTAACACCAGGAATATGAGAGGGAGGCAGTAAGCCAGCGACACAGCATCCAATGGTCTTTGTTCACTCAAAAATCGAAGTCGATAAAGCACGCGGGTTACCAGATCTGATTTTGTTAGCAGGAAGAATTCAGCTCAGCGGATAGATGACCACTTACCACCCAAGGGCTCGTCCTCGTACTCTTTAGCAAGTTGTATGGAACCAATTGTCCTCAGTGTCGCAACACCAATGAAAGGACGCATAACGCCTAGACGATTCGAGATTCGATCTGAGCAGGATATAAAGGTAGTTGCTGGCAACTCTCCGAGTAGAAGGCCAGCGCCAGCTCGGATAGATTGGATGAGGAGGTCGACAGCAGGACCCATCCACTGTTCCGCTTCAGTAGGTGGTCCCGTCGCGAGACTTTTGATGATGCCAACACCGCGTCTCATTCTCTTCTCTATTGCGGCAACACTTTTTCTTATGTCCGACTCTTTCGCAAGTTGAGCAGTGACCTTGGCTTGCTCCTCTGCCGTAAGTTTTTTGGCTTGACCTTTCTTCTGTGCAAGCTGTGTTCGCAGTTCCTCCTCCCATTTCAGAGTATCGTAATCTTTGGTATTCTTGTCTATCGTCACCGGCGCCTTTTTGGACAGGACATCGATGTAAGCTGTGCCCTCAGGGGTGCGGAAAATGGCTGCCTCGGTCGGTCCCACAACCTCCAGCTGTTGTGGGTTAAGATCTTTGCTGAATTGCTGCACAACAGCGGGCAGAGCAGCTTCTGGTGCCACAAAGGCCATATCTGTGTAGGCACTATATGCGGCTAGACGCATCGCTGGAAGCTGGTCGCTAGCCTTGAGCTGTTGACAGATCAGTGATGCACAAACTCTGGCTAAAATGATGGTGTACCTCAGTAATATCGTTGATCATATCCATAAGCTCTTTCAGATTGTCTCGTACAAGTTGGCCCGGATCCATACCCATGCGAAGGCACATATCAATCCAAGCTACTCGAGGCATGATTTCCGGTCTTGCCAGTACAATCAGATCCATGGCTTGCTGGCGCAGACACGAAGTATCAATTTCCATGTTGTGCTTATTTCGAGTATCAGGTGGAAGACAAATACAACTAAGCACATGCCCGAGCTCAGCAGCGCCAGTTTTGGCTGCGAAGGCAGCACTATCCTTGTCTTCCTGCCCAATGGACTTGTACCAAGACCATAAGCCCTGCACTATGATTCTGCTGATAGTTTCCGGCGAGGAACGAGTATATGCCTGCGTCAATGCATTTTTGGCCGCGGATTTGGCTTTGGTAGAGACGCTCTGTGCTACAACGAAGAATATGAAAGCATGCGCCCACGCGGTTTCCACGTTAGTTGAAGTACCTTTGCCCAAAAATGGAGCGAGGGCCGTTAGGGCACGAAGTGCAACCACGACATCGTCTTCTGTCGATAGTTTCGAATACACTTTCGGACTGAGCATGAAGGAGGGTTTTGGCTGAATCGCGAGGGCTTGTGAGACGACATCGGATTTTTTGAATACAGTAGCGAGCTTCTCGTCGCTCGAGTTGCAAGCTTTCTCAATGAGTAGAGCCGTGACATAATGACCTACAGTGACCAGGCCGTTCTGGGTTGAGGGAATGGGATTGGCATTAACTTCTTGCCAGACCTCCACCAGTTTCGGTAGCGTGGCTTGACAGAAAAGCACCACATCTTGCTGAGCATGTTGAGCTTCAGACAAATTCCACCATATGTCGGCAGCGCGGATGGCCCATAGGCGCTTTACAGACAATCGCTTATCGGCCATGCCCTTGATGAATGCGTCAGACACGATCTTGTCAAGAGCGACTCCCTTTGTCAGACCAAAAGTTAAATGATGTGTCATGGCCGAGACTTGAGCAACAACAGCTGACTCGCTTGGTTCTTTGAGTGCTACAGGGGCCAATGTGGCCGGTATCTTTGTCGCTAATGACATGGATGGAGGCAGAGATGACAGCATTTGCGCGTGGAGCACCCTTTGATCCGCTCCCGAGACTTTCCCCTGTTTCAGAGGATTGACAACCTCATCCGCGATGCATTCGAGAAGCTCGTTTTGATGCGATCGCGAAGCCAGTGCTTGGAATGTTCGCAGCGCACCGGTTCGAATGGTAGGATTGCTTGACTTGACGTTTGAAAGTAAGGGTTTCAGCAGGTTCCCAAGCAGGATTTCTGAGAGATCCATTGACTCGGGAAGGGCACGTATCATGGGGGACACAAGGTCATTGAGCACCACTTCTGGCGCTCGCAGCAAGGCCTTTTCAATTGGCGCAATGATCTCCTTGCGCAGCTGCTCCAAGGTAGGGAAGCTATGGAAGAAGTCATATAGTGCATTGGCCACGTGCTCTGGTAGTTGACTCCGAGATCCTATGAGTTCGCGAACATAGAAGTTGAAGTATTCCTGCTTGTGTTGTTCTAGCAGTGGTTTGATGGTGGGCAGCCGCGATGCCACGCCCGCGATAACGCCGAGGAAGACAGCATTTCCAGCTGCGGAGGTGGCGCCCTTCGTGGTGAGCGTGGTGACAAGCTGAGCGAGGGCTGAGGAGTTGGCGCGCAGAATGGCACGCAACGCGCGACGGGTGGATACGAGGGCAGAGTGGGAAATGCGCTGGGCTCGCCGATGACTGCCAGCGCCCACGCATGTCTCGAGAAGACGGGCGTCTGCGAGAGCGACATGTAAGCCATGTCTAGCCCATCGCTCTGGTGACTGGGCCAATTGAAGCAACAGCACCGAGCACCAGTCCACCAGCACGAATGCGCTGGCGTGGGCAAGCCCTTTCTTGAGGCTCTCTTGCTTGACAAAGTTCACAATCGGGGTCAAGACAGCATCGCCATGGGGGCCATTGACCAGCGATATGAGGACCTGCTCGACGGCGCGGCGGGATTCGCGATCATCGTACAGCGGATACGTCTCGAAGAGGGCGAGCAGCAGCGCGTGGAGGTCGGGGGTGGTTAGGGCTGCATGGGCAAACGTGGTCAGCGGTGGACGATGCGATGTAGGGGCACTGGGCAGGACATCACCACTAACACTCACCATCGACCGTGGCGACCTTGTGTTCCAGGCCCGCCAGCTCTGCGACTCTCCGCTTGGTGGAGCTTGTGATGAGCTTCTGGCGCAGCACCATACCCTGAGCGGCTGGCGTGCTATCGTCCCCATTCACACTCATTTCGAGCCGTCCACATGAGCGAGTGCAAAAGGAACAGCAAGGCTGAGGCAGGTGAGGGAGGGACGGAAGATGAGCTACTTGAAAAGATACTACCAGGGCGCATGCGTGGTAAATGGCGGGCGAGCGGGGTGTTTAATGTTTTGAGGCTCAATTTCTCCAAACCCACCACCGCCAAGAGTTTGCCGAATATCTCTACGCCGGTGTGGCGGTGTGGGTGTGGGTGTGGCGGTGCAGGCGTGTGTACTAAATTACTTACCTACCTAGTTTTACCTACCTGCCTACTCATCTACCGGTACCTACAATTCACATATCGTCTGCTGTACTGTGTACCTACTTTAGGTTACTACTTGTGGCATCGTTGGAGTATTGTACTATGGGACTACAACGCAACATGACATGGGTGAGTGGAGCCTACTCAGTCTGCCGCCACCCCCACCAACACCCCCACCAACACCCGCCTTGCGCGCACACCGACACCGACGCAATTGACTTGTGGTACCTAACCAGTGTCACTCCTGACCTACATACCTACACAGTACTCGAGACAAAGTCGCCCGCCGTGCCTGAACTCAATTGCGCCCTTGATGCGTCCCACCATCGTCTCTCGCCTGCACAATCTTGATCTCGCAAAAGATCAAGCCCCCATCTACTCAATACGAGAGGCTCAACAGCAGACAAAACCGCCTGGCCACCCCTTGACCCCGCCCCTGGCCTTATTGTATTCCTACAGTATCCGTCTTTGATCCATTTTCCTCCCTGCATGGCCAAAAAGAAAAAGCCCGCAGGAAACCCTGCCCGTGGCTTTGCAACAACGTCCATCCCAAGCAAACCGAAAGCGGAAAGGCTCGCAGCCGATGTTGTGAACGTTGCGGCGGCTACTACTACTACCGCACAGACGTTCCCCAAGGAAAGCGGGCCAGCAGTTGCACCTGCCAATCACATTGATTCCCACCTCGCGGCCTCCCAGACAGAAGATCTTGTTCAAACACCAGAAGAGCTTGAAGCCCAGCTAGAGCGAGATGAACTCCAATTACTCGTCGAGAAGCACGCTCCTAGGATTCGGCGAGAGGCCAATCGCCATGCTACGAAGCTGCGAAGCGACCGCCGAGTGCTGCGTGGCCAGTCTCATGCTATGGCAGTCCACGATTGGCTTCCCCGTGACCTTCTCGACAGCATTGTCTCCTTGGCCCAGACCGAGTCGAACGATTCAAACAGACGTCAGGGCCAGCAGCCCCTCTTGAAAATTTCCAGTGAAGAGGATGCCATGGTGCGACTGTGGACTTTGGATCTCACCCTTCGGGAGCTTGGCTTCTCCAGAGACCATATTCAGCCAGTCCTCATATGGGTCTGTGCCAATGCTGCTAGCATCGATGCCAGTGCTGCTGTTTGGGGACTCCAGGAATCACTGGAATGGCTTGCATTGGACCACTGTGAAGACCACTCGTTCACATATGAGGACGGACCAAAACGTCCCACTGTGGACGCACTGGATGGTCCGGGTTTGGGTAAGCAAAGAACTTCTCTTCGATAGGCTCTGCGGGGACAATGAATTCTGCAAGCTTCTGGCTGCGGTCATTGCCACGGCATCTTCTGCATTTTGCAAAGTGACACGAAGCTAGCTCTGCGCTTGGCTAATTTCTGTTCAGACGAACATCCATCAGCTTCGGGGACGGACCAAGATCGCTCGTCCACTCTGGTGAACAAGGACACAAAAAGAGAATTGGTCTCGGGCTCATCTACGCCTAGTATCGCAACGCCTGTGGGCGCGGTTAACGACGACGTTCAGGTCAGCGACTTGGACAGTGATCTCGAACTAGACGAGCTTATCCCTCTCTATTTAAGAATCAGAGCTAAACTCTACGAAATTGATCCACAGTTGGACGACACGACCTCGCGCAAGTCAACTCGCGGGGCCAAGTCTAGAAAGGCAGGACCTGCAACACCGCAATCACCGGCCGCGCGTAAACTTCTCTCTCAACTACAGCAGCTCCGATCCGATGCCCTGTTCGATGAAAATGAAGCTGAGGCGCGCTGGCCGACCAAACGTAACGAGATTGCCCAAATCCAAGCTGCGAAACGACTTTGCTCCGAGTTTCGACATGCAAGTCCTAAGAAAGAGACGAATGCGATAGCTATGGAGCCAGAAGTAGAGGTATCTCCTGAAGCAGCTTCTGACGGTATCAACAGCCGCGACATCGACGATGACGATGCTTTGCTGGGCGATATGTTCTCTACCGTCTCAGATGCTCCGGTGGTAGAATTGGACTCTGCCGTAACGAATTCTAGTGCCATATCATTGCGCGACTTTGGTAAAGCAGGTGGCCTGAGCCCGCGAAAGGTGCTCGAAGAGGCGGTTCGTTCCAGGTATGCAATCATTTAGTTCCGCCATTGAGGTCTCATTAATTAACCTGTGCCTGCAGAGACCCCAACGCGCGCCTGACCTACAAGATGGTTTCTCAAACTACCTACACATGTCGACATTCATTGACCATCACCTGGTCCAAAGACTTCGATGTTGAATACGACCGTGATATGACCAGTGTTTCGTGCCACAGAAGTGGACGTATTATGAGATTTGAGGCGATGCATGTAGCCGCCATCTCGATTGATCAAAGTGAGGACTATATATCAACTGCAGCTCTTTTCTCTATCTCAGCTGTATTGCCCAAAGAAGAGAAGGTTTATTTGCGATTACCGAGTAATTGGAGGGAGGTCTATAGAGAGTTTTTGGAATATCGCAGAACACGGTTAGATGCCATAGACCGCCAATCTGTCAAACGGTATCGCTCAATTGTTCGAGATCAAGTCGACGTCGAAGAGTCTGATGGGGTGGTTCTGACAAACCGATTCAAGATGCGAAATTCAGCTGCTACAACGTCGAGCGCATCGAATTCTGGTTACAGCACCCCAGTGCGCCAAGTCGATGGCTTAATCGATCTGTGGCAGCAGAAAGTAAGCAGTTCTTCCTACCAGCAGATGCTAGTGGGTCGGATGAATCTTCCTGTATTTGGTTTCCGTGGGGCCATCTTGTCTACCATCGACCGGGCACAGGTCACAATCATCTGCGGCGAAACAGGTTGCGGGAAAAGCACACAGATTCCGTCTTTTATACTAGAGCATGAGCTGTCCCAGGGAAGGTTGTGTAAAGTATACTGTACGGAACCACGCCGTATCTCGGCCATCTCCCTGGCACAGCGTGTCAGCGAAGAGCTCGGGGAAGCTTCACGCGATCTTGGAAGTATGCGTTCACTTGTCGGTTATGCAATTCGACTAGAGAGCAAAACTTCATCGCAGACGCGTCTTGTGTATGCGACAGTTGGTGTAGTGCTGCGTATGCTGGAGTCGACTGGCGATCTGCGCGAAGTTACCCATCTGATCATAGATGAAGTCCACGAACGAAGGTGATGTACAGTGCAATTTCCCTCAAACTTAACTTACTGATTGAACCACAGTATCGATACCGATTTCCTACTTGTAATTCTTCGCTCCTTGATGGAGCGTCGTCCTGAGCTGAAGGTTGTGCTTATGAGTGCCACAGTCGACGCGGCGCGTTTCTCGAGCTACCTCAACAATGCTCCGATTCTGACTGTACCCGGACGTACTTTTCCAGTTCAGACTCGATATCTTGAGGATGCTATTGAGCTGACGAATTATGTTGCATCCTCGGGAGCAACTCAGAATAGCTCAACCAGCGATGTTGAGGACGACGAGATCAAAACAGACAAATCTGGCATACCGCAAAAATTGTCGGGTTATAGTCATAGAACACGCGAAGTGCTATCAACATACGATGAATATGCTATAGACTTTGATCTCATTGTCCGACTCATCGAGACAGTAGCATTCGACTCTCGGCTGGTCCAATTCAGTAAAGCCATTTTGGTATTCCTTCCCGGAATTGCTGAGATCCGCCAGCTCAATGAGATGTTGACTGGGCATCCATCCTTCGACGCGAATTGGTACATATATCCGCTACATTCCACTATTTCAAGCGAAGACCAGCAAGCGGCTTTCTACATACCACCTCCTCAGATACGAAAAATTGTTCTCGCTACAAATATTGCCGAGACTGGTGTAACTATTCCGGACATCACTTGCGTCATCGACACTGGTAAACACAAGGAGATGCGGTTTGATGAACGCCGACAATTATCGCGATTGACACAGTCATTCATCTCCAAAGCCAATGCGAAGCAGCGCCGAGGCCGTGCTGGACGTGTCCAAGAAGGATTATGTTATCATTTGTTTACAAAATATCGTCACGATACCCTCATGGCTGAACAGCAAACACCGGAAATGTTGCGACTATCTCTCCAGGATCTCGTTATGCGCACTAAGATCTGTAAACTGGGCGACATCGAATCTACCCTTGCTCAGGCTCTGGATCCGCCATCCTCGAAAAACATTCGACGTTCAATTGACGCTCTGATCGAAGTCGATGCACTCACGCCCGGGGAAGAACTCACGCCACTTGGCCGACAGATAGCAAAACTTCCCTTGGATGCCCATCTTGGAAAACTTGTGATTCTTGCCAGCACACTTGCCTGTGTTGACGTCGCTACCACCATAGCAGCAATGCTGTCATCCAAGTCTCCGTTTTTGACGCCGTTTGGTGCAAGGCAGCGTGCCGATATAGCTCGATTAGCATTCAAGAAAGGGGATTCTGATCTCTTGACCATGTATAACGCGTACAAAGCATGGAGAGTGGTCTGTACCACACCAGGACGATCCGAAACGCACTTCTGCCATCAGAACTTTCTAAGTGCCCAGAACCTAGGCAATATTGAGGATCTCAAGGCACAGCTCCTCTCATCACTCGTTGAAGCGGGCTTCTTGCAACTTTCACCAGATGAACGCCGTAGGCTGAGTCGTTACCGCAGCACGACATCACATCGCATGTTCGTCGAAGTTCCAGCGCGGTACGACATCAATTCAGAGAACGACTTTCTCGTCAACTCTGTCATCGCAACTGCTTTCTACCCAAAGCTTCTGACACGGGAAGGAAGGGGATGGCGTAACATCTCCAACAACCAGACTGTTAGCTTAGCCCCAACATCGGTCAACAAAGGCTGCGCCACTGCTAGCTTCCTGTCGTACTATCACATCATGCAGTCGAGCAACAAGTATTACAACGCCCATTCGACCTCTGTCACGTATCCGCTCCCTTTGGTGCTTATGGCAGCAGCTGACGTGGACTTCAAACTCCATGCAGGTGTGATCAGCTTACCAGGCAATGTGTTGCGATTTGCCGTCAAAGATGGAAGGGTGGCGGTCGCATTGAAGGTGTTGAGACGTCGTGTCAAGGAAATCTTGGCGTCGAGTTGGAAGAACCCTGCGCGTCAACAAAGTGAACGCGAGAAAGAGTGGCTGGACTTGTTTTCAAGGATATTTAAGGAAAAGTGGGAGAAGGACGAAAGGATCAAGGAACGGGCTACCGGAAAAGCGAGATGAGCAATCGCCAACTCGATGTTTGATCAAAGTGGTCTTGCGTTGAGGAACGCTCTGGAACTTGATTGTCCTCAAGTGTTCCTGGTCTTTAGAGTATCAGAAGGAATAAGAATTGACTATGACCATGAGATATTACAGCGTTCTTTTCAGTCCGTTGTGGCGTTGTTTCGTCCTTAAACAACCACCCAAGAGACAAAGAAAATTGAAAAGCGTGCAGTACGCACAACTGATATTCCTGGATCTTGGCAGCGATTTTAAGTGACCGCTTCTTACCAGCGAGCGAGTCGAGTGACGAGTATACTGCCTGAGATCAAGTGCTTGTTTGACCATTGGACGAGAAATTGTCGATTGCTGACTTGTCGCCAAATATCATCTGGTTCAACAGCACTTTTAGATTTCGCACACTTCTGGCAGTCACTAATGCAGTAGTGCTCATGCCATCATCCCCCTAAAATAAGTTGCGTCAATTTATGCAAACACCTCCACCTCACTTTCTTAACTATTGCGACCCTACAAGATAGCACGATCCTATCGCTCTGACCTATGATCTGAATTTCGCGGCTCAACTCTTTTGACTATTCTCTGCTACAAATACCTAGGTATCAGGTGAGTCCCCAAACTTGACATTTAAAATAATACAGCCACCTGGAACATCTTCAATAAAAGGATTGGTGTGCATGATTCCATGGGGTTACAGCGTTGAGCTGCGGTTACGACATGAATAAGACTATTTTTCAGCAGCATTGACTAATGATCCAAGGAGGCTCTACGAAGAATTATGAAGATAGTACGGAGGATGTTAATATAACATGTTGTTTCCACCAAATCATAGCTCTATCTTCAATATATTTGATAAGAATATGAGCATATTACATAATCTACTTTACTAGATATTGAGACTTGTGGACGGGGAGAGGGGGGGGCGCGCGGGGCGGGGTCAACTGAAGTCCGATAAGTTTATAAAGGCCCAAAGTTTTTTTTTAATATACCTTTTCTGAAGAAGTTAAGGGAAGCAATACCCAAATGGAGTTGAAGCCGCCAGGCTCACAAAATGATGTGTCTCTCCTCAGTGTCTTTTGCGATTGCTCATGAATACTGAATCGAGGTCTTCATTTTGTTCACCACACGAAAATCGAAATTACTACAAAAGACCCATGACTTTCATCGTGGCCCACATTGAGATTATAGAGGCATTCCAGTATAACCTACCTGTAAAGTTGCGTAAGGACTGCTGGAGGAAATAGCGTTGATTGAACATTCGTGCCGTTGGGCCAAAGTACCTGATCCCCGTGATCTGACTCAAGTTTAATTCATTTCTACTTCTCTACCTTGACGGAGAAGCCCAGTACCAATACGTGTTACATGGATCCATCAGAGATGTAGCTAGTTGTAAGTAATTACTATAATTTGTTATGGGTCAAAGGCAGTGTAAGATGCCAGTGATACTAGATACAATAATGGGTGGCAATGAAAATAAAAAAGCGAGGAGGGGACAGCGAATTTTTTTTCCCTCTTAAATTATACTTGGAGTTTGTATAATGTTGACCTCAACGCCAAATTAGTCACACTTACTACATTCCCGACACTGTCAAAATTGAAGACGAACTCATCGAGGGGCATCGAACCGTAGGTGATACCCGTTATGCCGACCCACGAGCCACAATCAGTGGAGAACGGCTGTCTCCTGCTTGTTGGTCCACCGGTATCTTCGAAAACGGCTTTCCATGCCTGATCTTTTCCACCCTCCGCCGTCTGGGACTCCAGCTGTGTGTAGTAGAGTCGCGTTTCTGGCCTTAAAGGTTTCTGATCCACGCCACTCTGCAGTTTAATGGCCATCTCGATCATATCAGTTCCTTTGCTAATCCAATTATCGACGCCGAGACCAGGCTTGTTTGGATCCGTGCTTATCGTCAGCCATGACCTTGTTGCCGGATCTGTGTCTGCAGTTTCTCTACCAACATAAATGCCACTATAGAGCTTGTCTGCCTCATCACGAGCCACGGCGTCGTAGGCTGGGATCAGTGAGGCCCCTAATAGATCCGCACCCAAGAAGTTGTTCAAAGCAGGCTTGCCAGCTACCATTATTGTAAATCCAAGTTGAAAGTCGCGTAGTAATGTTAGAAATGATGTATACTGACGAAAGCTGCCTGCTTTAGTGAAAACACTTAAAGTACGATGGGGTTGTGTATCCTTTGCAAGCTGTATCCGCCGAACTCCCCATGGAGCGCCTACTGCGGCTGCAAAATCAGACGTGAAAGTGACCGGGTTCAGCCAGCGACGCGTTAGAGATGGCCTGATGAGTTTGGATGATAGTATGGCACGACCCATTGCGGAGAGATCATTAGGTGATGAATACATGTTACCACCACTAAACTTGCATTAGCTGCGGATTCTTTCAGGTTTGGTGTGACTGACGGGCTTGCATCGCCTAGATGAGCGTTCCAATAAGTGTCCTCTAAGGTTCCCGGTATGATTCCAACTGACACAGGCGCATTCTCGTAGTATGTTCGTTTAAGTCCCAGGGGCTTTATGATTTTGTCATCTAGGATATCAACGAACTTGCGCTTTGTGAGGCTCTCAAGGGCATAGCTGAAAAGTTGATAGCCAATATTCGAGTAAGTTGCCGTCTGCCAGGGTGAATATGAAGGGAACATGTTCTCGAGACCCTTGAAAAATTCTGCCCGGATCGCGTCCATATATCAGCTTTGTTTGCGGAGAGGAAGAAGACAAGAGCCTACCTGCTCTCGAACACAGAGGCCATGTCCCACAAGGTGGAAGCGCAGAAGCTGAAAGAATAGGGAACCCCCCTAACCACTTCTCTGGGACATCTTCCGTTTCGGTGAGCTCCCCTAAGACCCCATCTGGTAACAGATTAAGCACGATCCTTGTCAAACTTGCCAAGTACTCACAGTCGCGTTCGATACCAGAAGTTTGAGCCGCCAGTGAGCCTATCGTTACATCGTCCCAAGACGTCTTTCGGAGACGGTCAAAACCGGGCAAAGTAGATTGCCCTGAGTACTTCGCCAGCTCGGGTATAACATCGCTAACGGGGATATTCCAGTAACTATCACCCACTTCCGCAAGAAACGCCAGCACAGTTATCACCTTTGAAACACTGCCCAATCGATACACAGTATTACCATCTACTTTTTTGACGCCCAAATTCTCTGTTGGTAAATTCTTCGCGGTTTTGTGTCGTTCCCAAAGAATGGGTTTGCCTGGATTGGTCGAGAACACCTGGATAGAATAAGAGAAAGCATCGGTATTGGCGATATTGCCGTTGTCCATGTATTCTAAAACAGCCGTGATATTATTTAGTGCATTTTGCCAGATAGGGTGCTGGGACAAACGCTGTGGAGGGGGGAACTCAGGTCCCATCAAGGGGCAGTTAGGGGCGGCGATTGCCATTGGCAAGCATGTGAGTGCGAGTAGTCCAGACTTTGTACAACATGGTGCCCTCATAACTCATACAGAACATACAATGAGATTAGAAAATCCTGATGTCTAGGAGAATCGGATTGTTGCGATGAAATAATCGAGACACCATCTTTCGGGGCCGGGCCGCTGATACCTCAAAATCAATGCCACAAGGATCAACCTCAGGTAATTACAAGGGAGACGATGAGTGCATTCTTACCAGGATGAATACAGGCATGCACAGGTACAGATAACAGCTTATCGTCTGGCCCATAGATTTCCCATGCATGGATCCAGTTCTCCTTGCATGTCAGAGCGACAAACACCTTGATACGAAGTGTTCTCCACACATTGTGGACATTCCAAAGACCTATAGAATGGGCTTGGCGTCAGGAATCAAGCATTCAAAAATGATCTTTGGTTGATACATCGCGACGACGCTCCATAATCTGGCATGACTATCATAGTTATTATGTTCAGTTCCGTGCAAGAAGCGTTGTTAGTCTACGAGGAAGTCGTCTATAAATACTATTGCCAATGCTAAGTCCACGAAGGAATTTACTTTGGTCGTCAGACCGTGCGACAACGATGGATGCTGAAGCCCCTTAGAGCGATCCAGATTGCGCAGTGATCTCTTGATGACAGTGTGCGCGCCACCTTACGAGTGTCTAGAGTACGTTTGGCTCTGCTACCAAATGCATCCATGACGCCTCATTGTTCGAAAGTTTATTCTCCATTGAAAATTTGTTATAACCCTGAAAAGAATTAAAACATCTCGAATGCCTCCAAACGATACGACGATAGTTGTTCAGCTGCTACACGTCCAAGCCTATGCAGGAGTAGATTCCTGTTTCGGCATTGAATCTGTGGAGTGTATTAGTATTGCTTCTGATTGATGCTCATTACCCTGTACCTTGGTTAGATTCTTGTCAGGCTGAGAACCCACGGCTGGTATAAACGTTCCATTAATCGGGCTCAGCCAAAGTAGATCGAAGTTTGCTTTTAGACATTAATGAATCTATAGTCGAGTCCGAGATAGATGAGGTTCGTATGACCTAGGATTTAGCCTCCCTATGCCTCGAATACAACAAGCTGTCATCATCCCTTGGGGATTACTGTTAACCTAGCTTCAAGCGGTGACTCTATGCATTATCGGTATCATTACATGCGGACACCAAGATGCAGATAATGGAATGCAACATTGTTGACCCAGTTTGAGTCATTTCGAATCAGTGACTCCAATGAGCTGCCAGCGCTGACTGAAGAGGGGCTTAAGTAGGGAAAGCATACTATATGTGGAAATTCTGGGCCCTAGATTGAACAAGCGACGTTCTCCAATGATAGTTCTTTTAAATCCTTCGTTGCTTTGTAACGAATCAGTAGCGGTAGCACTTCAGGAAGTCCTTTGGGGGTTGTCTCAATGGCCACCTTTTTCTTATCCTTGATAATCTTCGTGCGTAGCTGTCAGACATCTAATGCTTGGCATTGACACATTTGCCAATATATCCCTTTTTGTCGCAGTAGGCTGTGGTGATCCCCTTTCTCAGCAACCCTGCCAGATTTCATCACGAAAATCACATCGGCACCCTGAACGGTTGCGAGACGATGAGCAACGACGATCATGGTCCTTCCTCGCCCACTTTGTTCCAAAACAGCCTGAACCTCTCTTTCCGATTCAGAATCTAAGCTGCTAGTCGCTTCGTCAAGCAGTAACACTGCAGGGTCGCGGATTAGGGCTCGAGCGATCGAAATTCGTTGCTTTTGGCCGCCTGAAAGTGCTACTCCACTTGCTCCCACATTAGTATCATAGCCATCTGGCAAAGACATGATGAATTCATGTATGCCTGCAGCACGACATGCATGCTGCAGTGAAGCCATGCTGGCAGCATCATCATCAATGTCAACGCCTAGCAATACATTCTCCCGTATCGTTCCACGGAACAAATTAGGCTCCTGGGCGACGAGGCTCATACGCCTACGCAGCACCTTTAAGGGGATCGAAGTGATTTCCTCGCCATTGTACAGGATTGAACCCCGCGCAGGTTCGTAGAATCGTTCTAGTAAGGAAATCAATGTTGTCTTTCCAGACCCGGAACTTCCCACGATGGCAGCGAATTGTCCATGATGAATATTTATGGAAAGCCCTTGCAAGACCGGAGTATCCCGAGTAGGGTATGTGAACCAAATATTGTGGAAATTGATATCCGCGCCTTGCCACAACAGAGTTGTCGGAAGAGACCAGCGGTGAGCATTTTTGAATCTCTCCAGGATTTCGCTCTCATTTTTGGCATCACTGATGCGCATAAGTTGAATACGGTGTGCGGCCGCAGAGACCTGCGCAATATCTTTATTCTGTCAGTACAGATCACCAGCTCTTCCAACAAGCACCTACTGGGTCCAAAACTTAACCACTGACCAGCAGCTAAGCTGCCCTGGATAACCGCAAGATATACGACAAGGAAGTTGAAGGCAGAAATTTCAAGGCGCGAGAGAAGTGTTCCGCCGTACCTGCTTAAAGGTCAATATCGAAAAAGAGGACAGGGCCTACGCTCCAAGGCTTACCACAATGCAAAAGCCATGCAAAGTAACACCAAACTGTCGCTTGCCGCAAAAATGGCACACGAGAAGCGAGCAGCTTTCCAGGACACGTGGATATGATCTGACAGAAGATTCGCGTATCTTTCACAGATTGTATGCTCCAACGTCAAGCTTGTCACAGTCCTCATCGCGCCTATCGCTTCCGTAGCATAAGTAGCACTTTCTGCAAACACTTTGTCATTTCCCGCTTCGAAGAGAACTTCATGCCGGACCCGGTACCTATGAATTCCCAGTGGTAAGTTAGAGTGCATGAAGATTGTCCTCAGATTGGGGCTTAGCTCACCAACCGCCCGCTACGATGATCGGAAGCGATGATATGATAACCACAAGGCCGTACTTCCAGTGACACAACACAGCAATAATCGTGCAGCCAACAAGCCCAAACACGGATATGAGCACCATTGCCATATTGGCACCGATTAGCTGCTGTAGTTGTACTGGGTCAGTGGCTAATCGTGTGGTGAGCATGCCGACCGAGTGAGCGCGCTCATCGAAAAAGGACACCCGCTTCGTAATCATATTCTTGAAGTACTCCCTTCGATAGGTAGTAACGGTACGCTAAAAAAAATTAACATCTATGGTAAATACTGGTGCACATAGGCAGCTGGCAGAACTTACCACGGCAACAAGGTTGGAAACAAACCCAATAACGAAGTAGCTCAGACCAGTGCCTACTGCAACCACAAGGAGCATTAGGCACATGAAGACTATTGAGCCATGAACCAGAGCTATAGGATACGAGAAGGAAGAGATCAGACGACCAAACAGGTAGGCCTGGAGGGGGTTACAAGCTAAAGATATGGATCAGCGTTGTCTTTTGTTCAATGACAGTGTCTACTTTACTCACCCGACGCGCCCATTGCAGCTACTACCAAGATCAAATATCCTATCCAGTTATCTTTATTTTCTGTCAACAGCATCATGAAACTTCCGAATATGCTCGTTGTCTTTATTTTGACCACATCACCCATTCCTTCGACAGCCGTAGTTTCGGACTCGACTATAGTCTCGCAGCTTTCCTTCTCTTTTAATGAGCTCCCTTTGAGAAAAGGATTTTCAGTTGGCATTTTCTCGGCAGACGAATCGCCTATACGTTGCGCAATTACTAGCTTCTTATACACACCGCCCTCTTCCGACACAAGGCTTCTGTGGTCACCGGATTGTACAACTTTACCGTCTGCGATAACCACAATTTGATGGGAATTCCTGATCGTTGACAACCGATGAGCAATAATGATGGTCGTGCGGAACCTTGCAGCACTTTCAAGTGCGGCTTGCACAATCCGTTCACTGTTGACATCAAGTGCGCTGGTCGCTTCATCAAATACCAAAATCTTGGGCTGACGAACGATTGCCCTGGCAATAGCTATTCTTTGCCGTTGACCGCCGCTGAACTGAAGACCCATGGATCCCACCACAGTAGAGTAGCCCTAAAAAAAGTAAGCCCTTTTCTTGTCTCAGCATCCTCTCCAATACATACTGATGGTAGATTTTGAATGAATTCGTCAGCGTAGGCCTCTCTGCACGCCTTTTCAATCATATTTCTCTTCAGGTGTTCTTGTGCAAATTCCCAGGGAGTGCCGACAAGTCCATGTTCCACATTTTTGTAGATGGTGTCGTTGAATAGACAGGTTTCTTGTTGGACAAGGCCAATTCGAGAACGCCACCAGTGTAGATCGATCTCATTGAGATTCGTGTTACCAATCTTGATACTGCCACTGCGGAGATAACTTGCTATAGGCTCAACTTCGTCAAGTTCGTACCAACGTTGAAGAAGTGCTATAACTGTACTCTTCCCCGATCCACTGGGACCTACAATGGCTGTAGTTCTGCCGGCGGGAATAGTAAGTGTTAAGCCCTTTAAGACCTTTACATCATGCCGGGAAGGATACGCGAAATTGACATTCGTCAAGGTTAGGTCAGCGCCTGCAATTATATTCTCTTCTTTTGATCCGGCGCTGCATGGCTTAGGCGCATCGACGATTGTGAAGAATATGGATGCAGCATGTATAGCATTATATACTGAAGCCAATGGCACTGATACCGCTGAAATATGAGCAAGTATTGTCATGGCTGACATGAGCACGCTAATTTGAGTGAGAACAACGCCGAAGTTGAAGAAAGACCAACTCACACAATCAACTTAGTGACACTCACGCTATGCGGTGTTGCGTAGAGCTTGGCTGCAAACCAGAAACATAACGCAAAGGTACTGCCAGTGTTAGTTCGGGAACTTGACGGGAAACGATTGCCTTACGCGTATGTTGCAAAGAATACTGCTTTGCATTAGCTTACTAGAAACTTATTAGGTCGCCGTAAACATACCTGGAGCATGTTGCACCGCTAGAATCGGCGATAAGCCCTTGCTCATGAGTGTGATACGTTGAACGATTTCGTGGTATCTCTTGATGAACTTATCTTCTGCCCCGCATGCTGCTATCATTTTAATACCTAACAGCGTCTCGGCCGCAGCTCCTGCCGCTTCTCTCTCAACTTCTTGAATCATTCCGTATCTTTTTACGACACGTGGAGTAATAAAATGATACCAACAGACAATTGCTACAACTCCGCTTGCCGTTACAAGCATTAGTTCCCAGCTAAAAATACAGCCAATGACGATTGCAACAGTAATCACGGTCATTGCCTGTACCAAGGACGAGAGCCGTTCGGATATACCTAGTTGAAGAGTATTTGCTGTGGATGTGATGATAGCTGTAGTTTGGCCTGGCGGTAGTGCGTCAAGAGTTGAGATAGGCTGCTGAAGAAGTGCTTCGAGATAACAAAGACGAATATTGGCCGAGATGCGGAGGCTGATTGTTCGAAACCCGAGCTATTCAGAAAACATAGGGTCAGAAATCTTGCCGCTCTTCACGTGTTGGAACAAACTGACAATTGCAATGTACGCTAAAATGAAGCGCCCGAGGAAAAGGTAAAGTATGTATAAGCTATATGTGCGTCAGAGACAGAAAATCCCATTAATCTCGTCATTACCTACACATATTGATTTATAATCTTCATAAAGGCAGAGGAGGTATTTTGCTGTGAAGAAGACTTCGCTGCCATAGTGGCGAAGCTTTGCAACAGGTGGGCTGAGGTAGTGTAAGCGCAGTTTGCTCTGATGGACGGATACAATACCCTACCAAAAACAATGTTCATTAGTGGAAGCGTGGTTCCAACGCAAACCGATGCTAGAAAAGATATCAAAAGAATGGCTCGATCTTTGCGTGTAGTGTATGTAAAGATCCTCTAAGTTGATGTCAGAGCATGCTAAAACCAGAATCTGATAAATCTGACCCAGAGGACTTTGGTGTTTTCTCCCATCGTTGACGCCCATGTTGAAAAGTTTCGAGGAACTGCTGGTAGATGCAACAACTTGCTAAAGGAAGACCGCATCGTTGAATCGAGATTCTGGCGAACTCAGCCCAAAAACTTCGCGGCGAAGATGACAGTCAATTCTAGTGCCTACTTTACAATCTAGAAAGAAAGGTGGAGTCGCATGATGGTATTTGCCTTGGCGGAAGCTGTCAGGAGAATACTAGCGTCATGGCTGTAGCGAATATACGAATCTTGTACTCAGTTCACCGTCAGTTGTCAAGGGCGGCTTGAACGTGGCCAGATTAAGCGGCTGATCGCACTGTGGGGACCTATAAAGATCTAAGTCTTGCTCATCCCTCCCCAAACAGAAAAGAATGCACTAATGCGAGCAAGAACAGTTGTTGTACAAGATGGCCATGCGTTTCCTTATTTGGCTCGCAATATTAATCGCGTATATGTGTGCAAAGCAAATTCGGAAATTTTGAAATAAGCATTCCGTGCATCAAAATTGACCAGGGTACTTTGATCGTACCATCGCTCTTTCACAGGATCACCGTAGTACGAGTAAAGGGCAGAGCAACAGGAGAGTGGGTCTATGGGTCTCATTCAGATTGAGGAAATGTTCCAATTGATAAAATATATTCAAGCAATGGGCTTTTCAGGGGATGACAAGCTTTCATTCTAGCGTAATATCTTATTGTGTTCCATTTCACGAATCATGCAACGGACAGTATCTCCAAGCTCTTTGACCATGTCTTTATGGCGCGGAAGAGTGTGGCCTTTTCCGTGATCGAATATGGATGCCATATCCGGATTGCAAACGTTGTAAAGAGCGATGTTGCCGTGCAAATATGGGTCCAGCGAGCCAACTGCATCGCAAGGTTAGTCAGTACTCTAGCACAGGGCGGAGTCATACTTATGTGACAAGTGAACACGTCGATTGTTAGTTCACTCTGATCGGCAAGCACCAGCCCATCAAGGGTGGGTGTCATTGGGGGCTGCGAATTTTAGTCTGCTTCCTCGGTTTACTTCGTCACTTTTTGGGACATACCCAGCCTCCGAAAAATAGTGCACACTTCAACATTGGCTGTCTTCCTTCCTCGACTCTCCGCATTTCTTCATGTAATAGCAGTGTCCCGGCAATAGTGGCTCCCTCAGAGTAACCTATACACTAATTAGCTTCAACTTGACATAGTTCTGAAATTGTAGCCTGTCTCACCCAAAATGCCTTCGAATGGCCCTTCTTTCTCTAATATCTCGTAAAGATACTCCAAGGTTCTTTTAGCGCTCTCTTCTGTCTTAGCAACACCATAGGTCATCAGTTCCCGCATAGTCATCTCCGGGGTTTCAAGTTGAGGAAAATCGCGAATTCTTTCAATGACATCAGTCGCGTCTACATCGGACTCCGAAGGCACAATGAAGCGATAGTACGGAGCTCCACCGAAGAACTCTTCGTAACCAGGCGGTGGAGTGACCTCGTATGTCCCCTGAATAAAGTGAAAATTTACGTTTTCATCAAATTCGAATTCCTTGATGAGCGGGGCGAGCTGAACTTTGAATTTCTAGGCATGGTCAGCGATGAGAAGCTAGAGATGTTTTCAAGCTGACCTCGATACTGCCATAGGCCCCAGGTAGACACAAGAACTTCATGGTAGCACTTTTGATTACTGCACTGCGACTGGTACGATCCGGCCAAAGACTCTGTTCATAAGACAACGACAGGCGCCAAGTAGTGCATCGACAGGCTAGTCATAGCTACAGCTATATCCATGGTCTAGGCTCGCTACCGTGCCCATGCCACTGGAAGAGTGTGAAATGAGGAATGGGTAAGTAAAAAGGAAAGTGTTGTCTGCATAACTAACTTTGAAAAAGAGGTATCGCTGGGCCGAACATGTCCGAGTAAGGTGAAAATATACTCTGAACCGCGTTAATACGTTTTTAAACCACGTTACGTGCAGGTAACCTATAATATACAACCAGGTTTCCAATTATCGGAACTGATAACACCTGATAACACGTTTCGTTCAGCCCATTTCGCTTCGTGTAACCGCCCGGACCTGCCCGCAGAATGCAATTGCAGCAGAACAGCGACGCATGCTTTGGAATTCATGATCCTGGGACACATTTCATCAAGTGCTGTACCACCATATTGCTGATGACAAATTCGAGTGCGTTATCTCGCTTCGTCCATGCCGACATGCAATGCAAATTGACTCGGTACCGAGCCACGTAACAACGTTCTGAAGCACATTAGGGCTTCTCCCTGAAACACCTCATGGACTAGAGAATTCCGTTCACGCCAGACAATCCATAATCTAGAGTGGCACAATAAGTATAACAGCGAAGAATAGTGGGTTTTCATCTGCCTGCGGACTAAAAGGTATTCTAGCCAATCGCTTCAATATGTAAAACTGGTCCTGGTCTTTTATCCAAGTCGCCCTAAACCTCTGCAAGAGGCTTGGGACTTCAAGCCAGGGTTTTTAAGGATTTTCAAAAGAAGCATATCTCGGAAGGCTTATCTAGGTAATAGCGAATTCCACGGCGGGTACATATCTGGACTTATTTTGGCTCCCTTTCGTCATCCGCCGTTGATACATCAGGCTCCTCAAGTTGCGACATACTGTTCAGTGGTGACGGCAGAGCTTGTGTTTCCATTTACCCTCCTCAATCACGATTTATTTCAAGTTCGCCTTTGGCTAATTCTCACCCATACCTCTGTTCTTCTCTTCTAAGACCCTCCTCTAGGCCTGCAGTTTCATTTTCTAGCATGGCGCCTCATGCTCTGACGCCTACTATAGAACGCGACAACATCTTCAACAGCACGCGTATTGCTACGGCCCCAAGCGCAGGTTCGGATGACGTCGGTGAGACACTGCCTTCTCATGCTGCGCGCGAACGAGAAGATACCTCAATCAGCAGCCCCGAAGCGCATGCGAACATAGATGACCTTTCTACCAACCCCTTGTATGAAAGCGCTTATGTCAAAGGATACGAGGATGGCTATACGTCGGGCTACACAAAGTCGCATATAGCACTCAAACATCAACCAATAGCCATTATCGGCATGTCTTGTCGCTTTCCAGGCAATGTTAGTACGCCCGAGGAGTTCTGGGAATTACTTGCACGATGCAGAACGGGATTTTCGACTATTCCATCATCCCGATTTGCCGAAGAACGTTTTTTTCATCCAAATCCTGGAAAGAGCGGCACTACCAACGCGCGTGGAGGCAATTTCCTCAGCCATAATCTGAAGGCATTTGATGCACCATTTTTTGGTTTCACCCAACAAGAAGCAGTGAGCTTGGACCCTCAACAGCGTCTTCTTTTGGAGTGTACTTTTGAGGTGCTTGAGGGTGCAGGCATACCAATGCAAAATGTGGTCGGGAAGGATGTCGGTGTCTTCGTTGGCGGGACATTCTCCGAGTACGAAGCAGATCTCTTCCGAGACTCAGAGACAATTCCAATGCATCAGGCTACAGGTAGTTTGCCGGTTGCAGGAACATAAATTAACAAACACAAGCTAACTCCTCCTAGGATGCGCTATGGCGATGCAGTCGAATAGGATCTCTCACTTTTTCGATTTTCGGGGCCCGAGTTTTACGGTAGATACAGCTTGTTCATCAAGTTTGGTAGCAATACATACTGCGTGTCAAAGTCTGCGAAACGGGGAATCGAGTATGGCAGTTGCCGCGGGTGTACATCTCAACATGCTACCAGAGTTTTGGATATCCTATTCGATGTCGCGATTATTTGGAGAGCCTGGAAGATCTTTTGCGTTCGACCAACGCGGTACAGGCTACGGTCGTGGCGAAGGATGTGGCATGATCCTTCTGAAACCCCTTGATCAGGCTCTGAAAGACAACGACCCTATCCGTGCCGTTATTACTGGAAGTGGAATCAACCAAGACGGTAAAACACCTGGTATAACCATGCCCAATGGATTAGCCCAAGAGGAACTTATTCGAAGCGTGTACAAAAACGGAAACATGGACCCTAAAGACACCGGCTATGTTGAAGCGCATGGGACAGGAACTCGTGTTGGAGATCCTATTGAGGTATCAGCGCTCCAAAAAGTATTCGGAGAAGGTCGAACTAAGCGAAAGCCGTTGTACGTTGGGTCTGTAAAGTCGAACATTGGCCATCTGGAAGCAGCGGCTGGCATTGCTGGAGTGCTCAAGACAGCACTTATGCTTGAACGCGGGTTTGTTCTTCCAAATTATGACTTCCAGAAAGCCAACGCACATATTCCTTTTGACGAGTGGGGTCTGAAAGTGCCTATCCGCCAACAGCCATGGCCGTATGGAAAGCGATGGGCCAGTGTCAATGGATTTGGGTTTGGTGGTACCAACGCGCACATCGTAATGACGCGAGGCCCACTAGAAAGAAAGACCATGAAAGAAGAGATTGATACGCAAGTGTCCGAGCGGCTCTTTGTGCTTTCCGCAAACGATAAATCTAGCTCAGAGACTGCGATGCAGAATCTGGGTGTCTATTTGGAACGGCGACCGGAAGTGTTCGAAAACGACCTTCTCGGAAATCTTGCTTACACTTTGGGTGAGAGAAGGTCTTTGCACCCCTGGCGGATTGCGATCAGTGCATCTACATCCGTAGAGCTAGTCCAGAATCTCTTCAGCGGCAAGATCATACCCATACGCCAGGAGTTGGAAGAGCTTCGTATTGGATGGATATTCACTGGGCAGGGAGCGCAATGGTGGGCAATGGGTCGTGAACTATATCATCAATATCCAGTTTATGCGTTGGCCTTGGAACGCGCGGACAACCATCTCCGCTCTCTGGATGCTAATTTCTCGGTTATTGAGGAGCTTCACAAGGACGAAAATAATTCACAGATTAACACTGCTCATATATCACAGCCAGCGTGCACTTCAGTCCAGTTGGCTCTGGTAGAGTTACTGCGATCTTGGAATGTACGCCCTTCGGCCGTTGCAGGCCATTCTTCGGGCGAGATAGGAGCTGCCTATGCGGCCGATCTGATCACCTTCGAAGACGCAATGACGATCGCATACCACAGAGGTCGTCTTATTCCAGAGCTCAAAGCCAGGTTTCCGCTGCTCGAAGGATCCATGATGGCCGTCGCGGCCGGTCAAAGCGTGATCACCCCGATCATCGACTTGATTCCGTCCTCACTGGGTCAAGTTCGAATGGCATGTATCAACAGCCCTTCCAGTGTCACAGTTTCCGGAGATACTGAGGCAGTCGCATGCTTAGAATTGCTCATCGAGGAGCAACATCCTGGAACGTTCACCAGGAAACTTCAAGTCGACACAGCCTACCACTCCCATCATATGAACCACATCGCGAAGGAATACACCAAGTCTCTAGCCTATATACGAGCCCCCAAAGAGTCCGCCGTTCGGTTTCACTCCTCCTTGCTAGGTCGTCTTGCCCACAGTGACGAACTGGATGCATCTTACTGGGTCCAAAATCTAGTATGTGCGGTTCGTTTCGATGAAGCTATGCAGAGCATGTGTCAGAAAGTGGGTGACAGTCAGACCGGAGTCAATTTCTTGATTGAGTTGGGCCCTCATGGAGCGCTCCAGGGCCCTATCAAGCAAATTCTCAAGCATATTGGCAGTTCAGCATCTAGCATTGCATATTCGTCTGTACTCTCAAGGAACAAGAAAGCTGTCACCACCGCGCTTGACCTGGCTGGAAAGCTATTTGTTAAAGGCATGCAGCTTAATATGGGTGCTATCAATTCCCCCAAACCGCTCGATAGACCGCCGCAAGTCTTGACCGATTTACCGCGGTATTCTTGGAATCATAGCTCAACCTTTCATCATGAGTCTCGATTCATGAAGGTACATAAGTTCCACAATGTGATTAGAAATGATCTCATCGGTATACTAGCACCTTATTCGAATGACTTTGAACCAGAATGGAGAAACATCCTTCGTCTTGATGATCTACCATGGCTCAGGCATCATGAAATACAAGGAGTCATCATGTTTCCTATATCAGGGTTCATCGTCATGGCAATCGAAGCTTTTGCTCAGAGGGCGCAGACTGAAGATGTACAATATGACCAATTTGTTGTCGAGGGTCTAAATGTACAGTGTGCAGTCATGCTGACGGAGGAGGACCTCGAGATGACAACCACCTTACGGCCCAGCCCTGAAAGCTCCAATCATCATTTCTCCCACCATTTCAACATACGTTCATGGTCGAAGACAAAAGGCTGGACAGAGCATTGTACGGGCCTCGTATCAGCCATTTCTTTAGCTGTGAACGAAGTTGATGGTGCGCGTGCACACTTGATGAGTGAACAAAGATTGCTGGCTAAGAGGACCGCCATATCCAACGCAGCTACTACAGCTGTTTCACTCAAAGACATGTACGAAGGTCTTTCGAAAATTGGTGTTACGTATGGCAGCACTTTCCAGGGCTTGCGAGACTGTCATGCCTCCCAGCGTGCCGCCGTAGCTAGACTTGTCCCAGCTGCTACGATGCCAGAAATGCCCCATGGCTGGGAAACGAGATATATCTTGCATCCTACATTGCTAGAACAACTGATATCCATGTACTGGCCGGTTGCAGCTGCAGACGCACCCTTGCGCACAGCTTTCCTACCGTCTTCATTGGCCAAGGTCACGATCTCGAAAACAGTTGGGAGTCAACTCAAGGATACAGACTCATGCATAGAAGCATATTGCGAGCCGTCTGCGCCAGCATCAGATTTTGTATCAAGCGGCATGTCAATGTACGCTGTAGATGCTCAAGGCCGACACATGATCTCGGTCGAGGGTCTTGGACTCGTAGCGGTCCCTGGGATAGACTCTGACACACAAATGGAAAGTCCTCGCGAGCTCTGTTACAAATTGGATTGGGAAGTCACCTCTCAGCCACCGGTGATTGAAACCATCCATAGCACACCACATCCTGACAGCTCCGAAGTTGTTATCATTTTCGATGACGTCGAGTGCCAGAGAAAGCTGGCAGACGCGATTTCTGGTCGGATCACTGCTTTAACTGGTCTTCAGCCGGTCTTGAGCACGCTTCTATCGGTCGGAGAAGGTGCGAGAGACAAACTGTGCATATTTCTTACTGAGTTGCATCGCCCAGTACTGGCTAATCTTGGTGTGGACGAGTTCCAGGCGCTACAAGTCCTCCTAAAAGGTGTAGAAGGCATACTCTGGGTGACCCGAAGGGGCTACAAGGATTCCAACAACCCAAATTCAAACATGATATCCGGCTTCAGTCGGACACTACGCTCGGAAGGTACTGTCATGCGCTTTATCACCTTAGATCTTGACATGGAGGGCAGCACGACAGACGCGGCAGGGATGCATTCGATCACAGAAGTTTTCAATATGACTCTACGAGAAAACAGGGATATCCAAGAAACTGAATTCGTGGAGCGCAAGGGAAAGTTACTAACCCCTCGCATTGTCCACAACACTACTCTGAACCAGTTTGTGCATGAGCAACTTCATCCTGCAAAGATTCTGCCGGCAAGATTCGTGGATCAAAAGAGGCCGTTGCAAGCAGTGTTTTCTTCGCCAAGTGAGTCGCACAGTGTTTCATTTGACGACATGCAAACACCTTCCAAAGACGTTCCGGAAGACGCAGTGGCAATATACGTCAAGGCTGTAGGAATCTCATCAAGAGACATCGCGACCCACTCTAGTGCAATTGGAATCGAGTGCAGTGGAGTGGTGATTAACATAGGAAGCAAGGTCACCTCAACCAAGATTGGTGACCATGTTGCGGCAATCACACCCCAAGGCTCTCTTTCTACCGTTACTTACGCAAAATCTTGCTTTGTAATGAAATTACCAGATCATGTCTCGTTCGAGGCAGCTGCGACAATACCCATGGCTTTTGGTGCAGCAGCCTACGCTCTGATGGATCAAGTGAGACTAGGTGATAGCGAGACGGTATTGGTCCATGATGCCGCCAGCGCAGTGGGTCAAGCTGCCGTTCGAATTGCGCAGATGATAGGAGCAAATGTCTGGACAACTGTACGCACTGCACGCGAGAAAGATATGCTCATGCAGGAATTCTTCCTGGCAGAAGACAGAATCTGGTTTATCGATGCAGCAGCTCTGATCGAGAGTATCAAAGATGTAACTGGTGGACGCGGTATCGATGTTGTCATCAACACTCATGAGGGTTGTTTTGATATTCAAAAGCTCTCTGACTGCATCGCCCACTTTGGCCGTCTTGTCAATATTGAAACAGACTGTCATGTACCTGGAACTCTGTCATACGATAAGACACTCTCGATTTCTACTGTAAACATGGCCGCGCTTGCCAAACATCAGCCACGGATTCTACAGCTTGTCCTCGCGAACGTGTCCAGACTATTACAATATGGTAAAGTTCAGGCGATTCAGTGCACGAAGACATTCGGAATAACGGAACTGACAACGGCTTTGGATCACATTCGACAATTCAAGGGTGAAATGACGGTAGTTGTGGTACCACGTGAGGACGAGATGGTCTTGGTAAGTGTTCTGGGTCCGCACATGAATTGTCCTAACGGGATTGTAGGCTCCACGTGTCCATCTTGACTATAAGATACTCCCAGAGGACGCTACCTATGTTCTTATTGGAGGAACTGGTGGACTTGGACGCAGTATTGCAAGGTGGCTGGCTAGAAATGGCGCCAAACATATTGTCTTACTTTCAAGAAGTGGTATTGCGAAAGGCAAGGCAATGGATGAGATCAATGCCTTGAACCAGGATGGGACACAAGTTGTGATCCGTCGCTGTGATGTGGCTGATCGATCTGATGTCGACAAACTCGTGTCGATGGGATTGAGAGATCTGCCACCAGTGCGAGGAATCATCCACGGTGCGATGGTGCTCCATGTCAGTGCTACGATTTCCACTGATGATGTAACTATACTGACACTGTAACAGGATGTACTGTTTGAGAAGATGGCACATGACCAATACTCTTCTGTTGTGGAAGCAAAGGTCCAGGGCGCGTGGAACGTCCACCATGCTTTTGAGGGGGTGGCCCTCGACTTCTTCATCCTCATCTCCTCCGCTGCAGGCGCGGTGGGTAATCGCGGTCAAGCCGCGTACGCAGCTGCGAATACGTTCCTGAACGGCTTTGCGCAATATCTTGTGGGACGTGGGGTTTCAGCCACTTCGATTGATCTGACAGCCGTCTCCGACGCAGGGTATCTGGCCGAGGACAAGAAGAAGGCTGCAGAGGTGGCGAGAAATCTGGGTAGTGACACCATCTGTGAGGCTGAGGTTCTTGCTTTGATCCAAGCTGCGATCCAAGGCGAATTGGCCAGTTGTAACGGCCATGCCATAACAGGGATGCGCATCACCTCCAGCATGCAGCCATTCTGGAGTCACGATGCCAAGTTTCTACATTTGCTCAAGGCGGCTGAAGCTGATTCTGCGTCTTCGCCCACGTCTGCAGCAAAGTCATGGAGTGCTCTTTTCAAGGCTGCGACATGTCGGCCAGAGGCTGCACAGGTGGTGTGCGAGGCGCTGGTGCAAAAGATTGCCGAGGTCATCGCCATGGAACCAGAGGCACTGGATATAGGCCGGGCGTTGAGCCACTACCCGTTGGACTCTTTGACGGCCATTGAGGTGCGCAACTTCATTGCGAGGATGTTTGAGGCGAATATGCAGGTGCTGGAATTGCTGGCTAGTGGGACTATCAGTAGCCTTGCCCAGGTTGTGTGCGGCAAGAGTAAGGCGTTGGGTCATTTGGTGTAATAGGTATTCGTCGTGTCAGGTTGGCCGAGGTTGTTTGCTATAGCTGATGACCATTCTACCTACCTGTACCTCAGGTACTAAATTAGTGTGTATCTAATATCCATGGACGGTTTCTGCCCAGTTGGTGTGACGGTCATATGGCAGTGGTGTTGGTGTTATTGGCGTCGAGGCTGTGGGCGTTATAGGGGGCCGTGGCTGGTGTTTTAGCTGATGGTGTGGCTGGTATGCTGGCGGGTGCTGTGGCTCATCCTCGAGGCGCTGCTACTCTACATGCTAGTCATCTCGGCTGGTTTGAGAGTCACGTTACTTATCTTGAGCCATCCAGTCAAGATACCAGAAAACGTACCTAGGAGTACATAGGGTCTAGTCGCAAATCTTGTGACTCTGAAAATACCCGAGCGCATGAGGATACTTCACTTCAGCCTATGTCGCTAACCTATGTAGGCAAGAGGGGCGTCGATGGCGGTGACGGCACAAGCTACGTAGCGTCCTGGGACTCTAGAGTAGATTCACGTAGCATCTCGAGGCACATGGTAAGTCTCACCGCCCTCGTAGCGACACTACACAGTACACACAGTAGGAGGAGTAGAGGAGGACCAGGTCTGGGTGCATGTAAGAGTACATAGATCACCTGCAAGACTACCTACACCACGAAGCAGTAGCAGCAGCTCTGGCAATTGCACGTTTCTTTTACCGGTACTTGGGCCTTCTTTCTTGTTCGGTCAGACTTTCTCCTCCTTGCAAGTAGTGTCCACCAATTCTACCTACAGCAGTCCATCCTCAATCATGTCTCTTCTTTCCGGTAAGCTACAAGAAATCCCCTTCCTCGCGTTCGTCCCTCCTGCTTTCTCAAGACAAGGACATGCGCACTCACGACGACACACAGACGCCATCTGGGCAGCAGCCCCTACCACGGCGCGTGGGCAGCCGACCATCCTCTCGTCGGACCCCAAGGGCGAACGCATAACCTACGCGGTAGGTGCCCTTCCCCTCCCCGCCACAGGCTCCCCTCGCAGCTAAACCTACTCACCCCTCTCCCTCTCGTAGTCGGGCAAGTCGGTCTTTGTGCGCTCCATCGACAATCCCGCCATCAGTCGCCAATATACGCAACACACGACGCAGACAACCGTTGCGCGCTTTTCTCCTTCGGGCTACTATGTTGCCAGTGGAGATGTCTCGGGCACCGTCCGCGTGTGGGACTGCGCGGGAGAAGGCGCAACCAAGGGCGAGTACCACATCATCGCCGGCCGCATCAACGACGTGGCCTGGGACGGCGACTCGCAGCGCATCATTGCCGTGGGCGACGGCAAAGAGCGATTCGGCCACTGCATCACGGCCGACAGCGGCAACAGTGTTGGCGAGATCTCGGGTCATTCGTCACAGATCAATTGCGTCGCCATCCGCCAGCAGCGCCCCGTCCGCGCCGTTACGGGCTCTGACGACACCAGCCTCGTCTTCTATCACGGTGCGCCCTTCAAGTTCAACACCAGTCTGCGAGGCCAGCACCAGCGCTTCGTCCTGGGCGCCGCCTTTGCGCCAGACGGCTCCGTCTTCGCCAGCGTGGGCGCCGACAAGCGCATCTGGCTGTACGATGGTAAGACGGGCGAGCCCAAGGGTCAGATTGGCGAGGGCGTGCACACGGGTAGCATCTTCGGTCTTAGTTGGGCCAGCGACTCGAATCGCTTCGTCACCGCCAGCGCCGACCAGACGGTGCGCATATGGGACGTCGAGGCGGCTAAGGCTGTGCAGACGTGGCGCATGGGTGAAGAGGGCGTAGCCAGTGTCTCCGACCAGCAGGTGGGCGTTGTCTGGCCGACAACACGCAACGACGGCCTGGTCATCAGCGTCGACCTCGAGGGCAGCCTCAACTACCTTGCGTCTGGTGACCCACGGCCCACGCGCGTCATTCGCGGCCACCAGAAAAACATCACCGCCGCTGCCATTGCGGGCTCTACCCTAGCTACCGGGAGCTACGAAGGTCGTGTGCTGGCATGGGACCTGGCCACCGGACTGGCCGATCAGGTGCAGGGCGCCTCTCACTCCAATTACGTTGCAGGAATGGCCACATCCGACAGCAACAGTCCATCAGAGCTGTACAGTGTCGGTTGGGATGACACGCTTCGATCCATTTCCGTGCCAGACAGGATCTTTGTAGGCGAAGCGAGCCAACTGCCATCACAGCCAAAGAGCATTGCGGTCCTTGGTCGTGTCGTTCTCGTAGCGACCGCAGAATCAATAGCAATTTACTCCAACGGCTCGCAGATAGGCTCACACGCCCTCAAGTACACCCCTACTGCCATCGCAGCGCATGATTCCACTGTAGCTGTGGGAGGCGACGACAAGTTGGTACACATCTACACTCTCTCTGGTACCGAACTGAAAGACACTGAGACTGTCCTTCGACGTGCGACTTCTGCGATATCAGCACTTGCATTCTCCTCGTCTGGCAAGAAATTCGCAGTCGGTACGAGTAACGGCAAGATATATGCATACGAGGCTTCCGGTGAGTGGAAGCTCATTACGGACAGATGGAGTGCACATACAGCACGCATTACATGCTTGGCCTGGGACAACACCAACAAGTACGCTGCAAGTGGGAGTCTGGACACTAATGTCATGGCTTGGAGCACCGAGGACCCTGGTAAACGTATCAAAGCTCTCAATGCTCACAAGGATGGCGTGACGGGTGTTGCATGGGACCAGACCGGGAAGGTCATTTCAGCAGGCGGAGATGCAAGCGTGAAGGTGTGGACAGTCAAGCAGTAGAACCTGATTCCAATACCAAACAAAATATTTCTGGCATAATGGAAAACGCCATGCTTAGTCTTTATTGACCAACTCACAACCAGGCAAACGCTCCTATCCTTGGACATGACTTGATAAAGAGCATACTAGCGTTTCTATGTAGGGTTTGAAAAATAAGAGTATTTACATATAAATAGTCCTATATGCTTTATGCCTAGGGGATAGCTTCTTATTAAATAAATAAAGTACAATAAATAGTATTCGCCTAGCATACACGCGCTTTACTGTTATAGACTGGCCTTAAGGGAGAATACAATAAGCGTTAATAATAGTATTTAGTATCTTAAAGGAGAGGTAAGCCCTCTACACCTTTTTATACCCCTAACCTTCCTTATAAGCTATTATAAAATTATCTTTATAGGGGTTTAGGGTTATATCTTTATCCTCTATAATCTATATTAGGCTTTATTACTATATATTTTAGGTTTTATTATTATATCTTTGTAATAACCCTATTATAAAGATACCTTGTGGTGTTCTAGTTAATTAGTGTAGAAATTTGGATCACTAAGGTTAGGAATAATTTAGGAGATAGATTATTAGATTATATCTACTACAATTATACTTATATATATAGAGCTTTAGCTACCCTTACTAGAAGGTAAATAATTAGTAAACCTTCCTTACTAGAGCTCCTACTTTTTATTAGGCACTTAGTAGTAAGCTAGTAGTTAATTAGATAGTAGGTTATATAGGGGTATTAATTAGGGTTAATTAGATTAAGATACTCTATAATCTAGTTAATATCCCTCCTATAATATACCCCCTAGGTATAGGTAGATCTTTTATTATTATAGTTATACTTATAGTTAGTAGGTAGTATAGCTAATTAGAGCGTTATATATTTAAAGGGTTAAATTAGCTTACCTTTTAGATACTAACTAGTATACCTTCCTTATTTAGCCTACGCTTATACGCGTAGATATTATCTAGACTAAGCTCTATAACTCTATCTACCTAATTATAATCTTTTACTATAGCTTAAATTATAAGATTATATAACCCTAAAGATCTAAACTATACTTATATTCTTATTAACCTATATCTTAGTTAAAGTTAAAAACTACTACTTATACTTACTCTACCTACGCTACCCTTATTACCTCTTATATAGCTAAAGCTATAGTTACTAAAGCTACTACTACTAAAGAAGAGCGTGCTACTACTAAGCGTAAGGCTATTATAGAGTATATAGTAGCTAAGTATATAGCTACTACTACTATAGTTAAGATTATAAAGCTAAGGAAGGTTGCTCCTACTCTAGCTCTTACTACTCTAGCTCTAACTCTAGCTCCTGCTCCTCCCTAGACCCTACCCTATATCCCTACTCCTACTCCCTCTCTAGCTCCTAAGGAGACCCTAAGATCCTTCTATTATAAAGAGCCTAGTATTTATTATACTAAAACTTGTCTAAATTATCTACGCTCTACACTCTTTAATAAGTCTAATAGCAAGTGCTATAACTCTTCTAGTAAAGGGACTTAGTACTAGTAGTACTTCTTTAGGTATAGCTATATCCTAATATATATAATCTATATAAGAATTTTTCCTTTATAATACTTTAGTAAGATCTTATACTAATAAACTAATAGCCCTAAGCTTACTTAACGTTCTACGCTATCCTTTCTAGTAAGGAAGTAGGTAGGTAAGAGCTAAGACCTTCTTAAGGATAAGAAGTAGAGGGTCTTAGTACTCCTTAAGGAGAGCAAGGCTAAGTAGCAGGAGCTAGTAAAAGCTACTACTACTACTACTAAGCTTGCGCGTAAGGCTACTACTATAGCTAAGGGTACCTAGAGCTCTTTATTAGAAGATAAGGACTCTAGCTCCTCTAAGGTTCCCCCTATAGATCTTAGGTTAGGGCAACCTAGGTAGCTCCCTATAGACTCTAAGGTATGCTTTGCGCTCGTAATAGAGCTCCTTAGGGAAGCTACCTAGTTAATAATAGAGAGGTAGGCTATAGTTAGTTATTTTTATATTATATATTAATAGATCTTATATACTACCTTACTTTAATTAATACTATATAATATATACTCTACTATTATATAACTTTAGGTGCTCCCTAAACCTTATAAATTATTATATAGTTAGGTTTTTAGTAAGCCTATTAGCTAGTATATTACTAGTAGGTAGGTAGGTAATATAGAAAGATCCCTTTATATACTCTTGCCTAAGCCACATGTTTTAAATATCTATATAGCGCAGCTTAGTAGTGATCCTTTTATTATTACTTACTACTAACCTAATAGTTTATTAATTATTATAATTAATTATCTAGGTAGTATCTAAAGTAAGGTGTATTTTAGTTAAAAAGAGTTTTAACACTATTACTTCTTTACTTACTTGCTTAAGCGCAAGGAGCTCTGCCTTAGTAGTTAAAGTGGTGACAGTTAATTGTTAAGCTGCCTTCTAAATAATAGGTCCTCTAAAGAGCGTTATTAGGTATCTATATAATAATTGCTAAGTATTAATATTATTAGCAAATAACGTATTACTACATATTATAAGCTTATTAGGATCCCTATTCCTATATTAGATTAATTAGTATTAAGTTTAGTATAGATAGATAATTACTTAATTAACCGCATTAAAGTATTGTTTAGATAGGTTAGTAAGGTATTAGGAGAGCTAGGAGGCTATATAGGCAATATTAGGGCGCACTATAATTAAGGTGTAAAGGATTAATCTAACGCGCTCCTGATAGTCCTTAATCTCTTTTTTAGTAGCTTCTCCTATACTCTTTTTAATATCTTTACTTAATAGTAGTATTATAGGGAATTTTCCTATCTCTACTAGATTAAATTTCTTTGTAATCTTATTAATATATTTATTATAAATAAGCGTTATTATCTATCTCTTTCTATCCTAGATTACTCTTACCCCTAGAAACTAGCTTATAGGTCCCTTTTCTTCTATAGTATATCTTTGCTTTAGAGCTTAGATAACTTTGTAAGCTTAGCTTGCGTAGTTTTAGTAATAGAGTAATAGGATATTATCTACATAGAATATTAACAAGATACTACAATCTCTATTAAAGAATAGGTATAGCTCCTCTTTAGAAGTAATAAGCTTATTTTCTTAGAGTGTAGTTAAGAGCTTATTATACTATAATAATAGTAAGTCTTTTAGTCTATATAGAGCTTGTTTAAGCTTAACACACTTCCTAGGTATTTAATATCCTTTAGGTAGCTTGCAGATAACTATAGGGTGTTAATCCCTTAAGGCGTTAAGGAAAGCTCTAACAACGTTATATTAATATATCTTAAGGTTAAACTTAGCTCTAATAGCTATTATAGTCCTAAAGGTTCAAGCTACTAGGGTAGCTGCGTAGGTTAAATAAATTAAGTTAGTAAGCTATAGATCTCCTCTTACTACTATCCTTGCTTTGCACTTAATTAGGTAACTATCCTAATTAAGCTTGTATGTAAACACCTATTTAAGTAGGAGTAGATACTCTCCTTTAGTTAGCCTATTAATCTCCTCCTAGGTACTAGCTTTTAGTAGAGTATTAATTTCTTTATATACTACGTCTCTAAATTGCTGTCCTATTTAGTGGTTATAGAGATCCTTCTATTATTTTAGCTCTTTTTATAGAGCGTCCTAGTGCGTATTCCTTTTAGGGTTTTTAGGAGATTTACTCCCTATTACTACTATAATCATAGCGTAGATTATAGCGTTTAGTTTAGGATATACTAAAAGATTATATAAGGGATTTCTAATTAGATCTATATCTAATAGATCTATTACTATATATATCCCCACACTTATAGATCCTCCTAGTAGTTTATTATAGTCCTGTCCCTAAGCTTGCTTACTAACACGCGTTAGTGGCAGTCCTTTAACTTATAGTTTTCTGCTTCTTCTAGGAGCTCTAGGTGCCGCTTGTGAGGGATCTGCAGGAGATATAGAATCTAGTCCTAAAGCAGGTAGGTAGGAGCTCTACTTACTACCCCTATAAGAGCTAGATAGGGTACCCTTACCTATCTCTGTGCTCTTATAGAGTAACCCACTAATAGCACTCTCCCCTCTAGGTCTTTCCTAGGAGCTACTTATTATGGCGTTAAAGTAAGTTAGATTACTACTATCTTAGGTAGTATAACCCTAATCTATAACCTGCATAGATCCTTTATCTCCTATACTAAAGTTTAGTTCTAGTGTTAGTTTAGGAGTTTAGAGCCCTATTAGCTTAGGGGACTTTATATAGATCCTTTATACTAAGCTAGCTATACTTAGTACCTACGCTAGAGGTGTCTGCTTAGGGGGTTATGAATCACTAGGCTAGCTAGCCTAATTATCTACCTCCTCTAGCTCTACCCTACCCCCTAGCTCCTGCGCTAGGTTTAGTCCTCCTTGCTTACTAGACTCCTTATATTGCTCTGCTATAATATAAAGCTAATTAAAGATATTAAGCTCTTTATATACTTCTCCTATATTATAGATCTTATCTTTGCTAATAATATTAACTATCTTTTAAGCCTCTAACTATTAAAGCTACTCTAGATCTTTCTTTTTATAGAAAAGATCCTTATTAAAGGTAACTTTCTGCGTTATAATAATCTAATTAAGTAAGGGGATCTATATCCTATATATATTAGATGCTCTGTATCCCACTAGATATCTAATATAACCCTAAGGGTTTACCTTAAAAACCCTCTTGTGACGCCTGGCTGCTTAATCTTAGTTAAGGGGGTAAGCTTAATAGCTATAGGCGTATATTCCACTCTAATTAGGGCGGAGATTAGTAGTTGCCTCCCTTATCTACTCTAGTTGCTACTACCTAAAGTATCTAGTAAACTAATAATCTAGCACTTTGTTAGGTAATATTATATTGTAAGTATAGGACAGGCTTATATTATAGAGCTAAGTTGCTGCTTTAATAATTTTAGGCTAGAGCTTTGTTAGTAGGTTAGTACTAATCCTTATTTTAATTAATTTTGTTATAATCTCCTGCCCTACTCTTT